TTCGTTTCATGGCAATATCTATTGCAGGCCAATTACCATTTAATATTCAATTACAAATCCGAGAGATTCACTTCTCTTGAAGATTGATTGCATTCACAATTTTACAAAACTTCTCGATTTGCGCGGGGGAGGTGGTTGGGTATGGGCCGGGATGATTACCCCCCACCAATTACTGAAGTTAATTCCGGACTTATAAATGAGCAGCAGGGCCAGGCAGGGCGGGGCAATAACAATCCGGAAACAAATGACTACCCACACTGCTAGTGGGGGGGGGGGGGAGGTGGGGGAGGTCTGGGCTTTTGCTCAATTATATATTTCTTGGAGAACACAACACACGAAAACGCAATGAAAATTAGAGCACCCGCCCCATGCACCCATCCATCCGTCCATCCGACCATTCAAATGTTAAGTTCAAGTTTTTGAAGGACAAAAGATGGCCAGATACCGGAAAGGACAGGACAGGACACACACGGACACATGGACACTGGAAAATGATGAAATATCAGGTTGAAGGCATAATAAATGCCACGCAAAACGTAATGGGAAATCGATAGGACAGATGGACTTGATTTACGACGAACGATGGTCAGTCAGCCCCGAAAGCAAAAAATACCCAACGACGGACAGTTGTCGTGGCAGCCGCCACCCACGAGGTGGAGGCAGGGGGCAGCAGCAACAGCAGGGGTAGTTGTGACGTCCATTGACATCGTCACGATGGTCAGTAGTCATCATCACAGCCGTTTTGACCACACCGGCCCCGCACTGCGTGCCACTTTGCCACTGGCCCCCAACGACTGGCTGCCCGGCTTTGCCACATTTGCCACATTTGCCACATTTGCCACACAGAAATGGGGAAAGGAAAGAACGTCATAAGCTTTTGAAACTCATAAATGATAACACGCTAAAAGCACATTTCAAAAAAAAAAAAAAGAAACATCAACAGGCTTCAGTTTTAATATACATATGCAAAGAGATACACAGATACGCAGATACAGATACACAAAGCTGTGGAAACTTTTGCGGAATCATGCTCATTAAGGTCCCAAGGGCTATGCAAACTTTAACCTTTCACTGCGAGAAGTGGAGAGACAAATCGCAAACAGGGCCAAAATCGCATTTAAGCCAATATTCTGTATAGAAATTTCCTGCTAGAAAGTGCAACTGCTAGATAGATTCCATACAATTTTTGGCTAGAAATATCATCCATAGACTGATGGATGGATCAAATAATAATAAACGACGCAATTGCTCAAAATAAACAAAAATCGAATTGCAATTCAGTCCAAAAGAAAGTCCATTTTACGTACACGAATCGCACCGCAGCTGCAGGGCTTCTCAGGGGTGCCAGAAATAGGTCGGCAAGAACTCCTCTAATTAGAAACGATTTTGCAATTTTAATATTCGCAAAGGCCCCACGGGGTGACAAGGGTTTTTTGAAATGATTGAAATGTCAACAAGGTGCCACAAGGGGCAAAAAGTGCGGCCTCCAATTGCCAGGCTTCGATTAAATATTTAATTACAGACTAAGAATACATGCAATGGCGGAGGTAAACTATACAATTGCGTTTATTGGGGGGGGTGTACAATTGTACTAATTACGTAATTAAATGTGGTTCCAGTCCCTGTATAGAAAGCGAAAAGCTTTGATAGGATTTCCCAGATCTGTATCTAAAGATCTATATACAATCCTGTATCTTTTCGGCATCCAAATATATTTGATACAAAGACCTGTTTACGGCACGTTCCCTTTCTTGAAAAAAATAACCCAATACAGGCGTGATTTTAGCAAAGATTCTATAACCAGATCGGTGATGTCTTGGCCCGGAAATCGTTTAGCCACAGCCATAGCCATAAATCATCAAAGAGGCCGATCGTTGGCTTATTAATAGATTTGCGAAATAACGAATAACGAAAGTTGCTGGAAACCTACCTTTTTGTCACAAAACGGCGACAACGTGTGCTCGTGTTAAGTAATATTTTCCATATATATACATACGGGTACATATGTATCTGAAAATGTATCTGTATCTATGGCTATTACGTGGCGGGGAGCGTACATTCAAGTGTCACGTTAGTTTCACAGCAAACAACAGCCACCTGTAAATTGGATTCAAAAATATTGCACGAAAAATGTTTAAAAATAATTTAGCATCTAATTGTGCAAAGATCAGCCCTACCCCTGCCCCTGCCCCCCCCTATATATAACCGATTTGGAGCAATGGAGCATTAAAAAGGTGTTCTCCTACCAAAAAGCGAGTCACACGAGCTCTTTTGAGTCGGTCTCTGGTTGGGTATTTGTTTGCCTTTTGCTGTTTTTCGCTAAAACCCAACAAAAGGCTAGTGAAATAATACAAGTACGATATATACTATATACTATATACTATGGGGTGTGCGACTGAAAAGCTAATAAACAATTTCCACAAGCACACAAAATAGCAATAAGAAACCAAAAATATATGTACTAAAAGCAGACCCATATATAGTATATGTCTAATATATTTACAGATTACAGAAAGCCAGCAGCAAATTGAAATTTAAAATGAAAATGAAAACAAACGTGGCGGCATGAGTTTCAGTAAAATGGAAATACAATACACAGATTGATATTTCCTTTGTTCCAAAATAAATTCCTTCGCAAAATGCCCTTAATGGAAGATTCGTTGAAGAGATTAATGGACTGATATTTGCGTTAAGAGAGGATGACAGAAGGTTATGTGGATCATATGAAGGATTCAAGTAGATCTCATAATCTTTATAAATTCGACCACAGATGGTACAATATTCAATTGCTTAAGATAATACAAGAACTAGCGAGAAATACAGAAAAGAAGGAAAGAAAACAATTTACAAAATTTTCTAAATTCAGGTGATGGTAAATATTAAGTTCTATAATCTTAAGAGACAGTTCTGGGGATAAGGCATGGCAAAGGGATACATATATTTATAATTATGGAATACAACCCTAAAAGGTTCAGGCTGAGGGTAAGGGTAAGCCAAGACCCAAAAGAGATCCGAGATGGGACCCCATTACCTATACTGCAATGAAGGTAGGTCTATAAGATTTCGATACTACCAGAGTCGCAGTGTAAATTCAAAATTCGATAGCTAGGGGCTCCAATATCGGACGTTTAATGATCCTAAAATATTGAAAGTTATGCTTGTATGCGAAATGCTTCAAGAACAGATCCAAAAATCAAAGTCTAAAGATCCCTTAAACGAAATGATTGATAAATAAAGCATATACTCGTGATTGTGCCACAAAAACTAAAACCAAATATGGTATCGCAAACAATTTACCAATCTCGAAATCATAAAAATCATATAAACTCAATTAAAGAAAGCCTAGAGCCTCCCAGTCCCGGTCCCAGTCCCGGTCCCAGATACACAACCGATTGGATGGGGAACACTGAAAGGTATTCGAAGCACTTGTCGAGCGCGTGCTGGTGCCTGTTGTTTTCTGATAACTAAATTATCATGCAATTACCGAATGACAGAGCGACAGAGCTCCACATCTGTATGTATAGAGGAGGTAGCCCCGGATACGCTCTATAAAAAGTAGAGGACCCCCAGAACGAGCGCACAGCATAACATACTACAGCCCACACAATCAATATCAATATAATCTCAAAAGCAAATACAAAACACTCTCAAGAACACCCCCATCAAACCCAAAGAATAAAGAGCGACAACAATCTATGCATATCTCGGGGAGTCTCTTACTAGGAGTGGAGGAGGAGTGTAGGGGAGGGGAGGCCGCGTATTCGTTGTAATTTTCAATGTAAATTGTTCAAGGAAAAGCCGAAGACTGTCGGAGATAGTCCGCATTTACTTGGCAACCAATCATCATTATAATAATTTGAGCTAAAGGCTAAAGCGTACTTCTACTGGGAAGGGAGGAGGCCTAGAACGGGGCAAAATGCTTGGATAAATGGGCAGTAAATAATACAAAATAAATGAATAATTAATTAGGGTATAATATTGATGGTACAGTGTCCCAAGGGATGGCTTCAATTTAAATGGGAATTCATAAATGGAATAACCCTTCAAAGGCTTTACATTAGCAGGTATTTCTTTGTAGGTTCTGTAGTTTCTTTGAAAATGTTCTTAAAATAACTGTGGTATATAATGAGAAGGGAAGCTATCCGTTACCCTTGGGAAGCCCCCCATTATAATCGTGTACAAGGCAGTACGTACATAAAGTGACTAAAGCACACATTTTCTTATCAGTGATTATTCAAAAAAATTTATATAAATTTCAAAGGCAACCATTTCCAACAATTAGAGACTAGAAAAGTTGTTGGAAACGTTTCGAGCTTGATGTGAGAATTAGTAATAAGGAAATGGGTTTGCCAATCCGAGCCAAATGGCATTAATATTTTATGGCAAATACAACAATGTTTGCAAAGCGTTTGGCAATCGCAATCGGACATTGAAATGTAAGGAACGATCCATCAATCAATGCTGCTGATTGCTGGATCCATCAATAGAGATAGAGATAGAGACAGAGACAGATAGAGAAAGAGAGAGGGCCCTGTGTGCCCGTGCCCTGATAATGAGTGACTGCCCCATTCAGCTGATGGCCAAATGTCGCATTGCACAATCGATAAGGGTATACTCGAATAAGAGGGTATTCGGCATGGAGTGCATTCATGATAGGAAACGGGCCACTCACAGGGTCCCTCTGTCCCGCTCACTCTCTCTCTCTCTCTCTCTGGGGCTCACCCGCAGGGCGCTCAGGCCTTCCATTGATAAGGTTTTGCGATTATCCATTTAATGACGTTGGTCCTCTCTCTGTCCATGTATTTGTATTCTCTCTCTCGCTCGATTGGCTGATAAATCACGCGGTGCTGGCAGATTAGCCGACGAACGACAAATTGGCCTAAAAAAATATAAATAAAATTAAAAATTAAATTAGTAACAAAGTCTATTTGGCTGCCAAATGAGAAAAATAAAATAAAAGACCTGATTCTAATCCGCTTCTGATCCGCTTTTGCTTGCAGCTGGCCACACGCTCCATTGAGCCATCGTTCGGTCTACTCTTTGGCGACACCCTGAAGGATCTCAATGTGGGCACCACTGGGGCGGCGGTGATCATCAGTGCGCTGGACGTCTGCATGAATTTCTCGGGGCTGTTTGTCGGGCCACTGCTGAAGGAGTTCTCCTACAGAAAGGTGGCCATTGCCGGCTCCCTGCTCTGCGGCCTGGGCCTGGCCCTCACATCGCCGGCCACCAGCATGGCGCACATTCTGAGCACCTATTCGGTGATCAATGGCATCGGTGTGGGCCTGTCCACGTCGGCGGCATTTGTGGCATTGAATCACTACTTCAAGCACAAGCGCGGACAGGCGGTGGGCCTCTCGATGGCTGGCACGGCCATTGGCATGTTGATCATGCCGCAGCTGGTGAGGATCCTGCTGGAGGCATATGACTTTCAGGGCGCTGTCCTGCTGCTGGCGGGAGTCGCGCTGAACGCCACTGTCGGTTCGGTGCTGCTGCAGCCGGTGAAGTGGCACATGAAGGAGGAGTTCGATGATGAGGAGCTGATGTGTATATCGGCATTGCCGACACCCCAGCCCCAACTGCAGCTGGGTGGCGGCGGTGTGGCTGCGTCGGCGGCCTCGCCGCCCGACTTCAAAGTGATCAAAGAGGATGGCAACGAGGAGGATGCTCTGCCCGAGATGAACACCCTGCTGTTCCACAAGCATCACGCCCACCAGCACTCGATGCGCAAGAACTACTCGGAGATGGCCATGAACACCATGAATGGCTCTCGCCTGGGCATACCCAAGCGACCCACATTTCCGCGGATCATGTCCCTGGCGGGCGTACAGTCGGCGGCCCATGGGGCCGGTGCCGATGGCGCATATACCTCGCAGGCGGAGATCAATGCCACGCAGCTGCGCTGTCGCAAGGCCTCGGTTACCTCGAACCTCTCCTACATGGACTTCACCGGCTCCATTCTGCAAGTGCACCTCAACACCGGCGACGATGAGTTCGAGCAGAACGACCGCGAGCTGCGACGCGTTGGCACCGCCACCGGCAGTATTGTCCTTGGCGGACATCGCGACAGTTTCATCAAAATGAAGCCCACGGAGCTGGACAAGCAGACGGAGGCCGCTCTCGCCGCCGCTGCCGATGAGGAGGCCAAAAAGAATAAACCCAAAAAGCCGGGCTTTTGGCGCCGGTTTGCCGATCTCCTGGACATTGACATGCTCAAGGACAAGATGTTCCTCAATCTCCTGTTCGGTCTGTCCATCTTCTATGTGGCCGAGATGAACTTCAAGATGGTGACGCCGTTCTTTTTCGCCAATCTGGGATACCAAAAGACCGATGTGGCCTTTTGCCTGTCCATCACGGCCATCACGGATATCGCAGCACGGATTGTCTTGCCGCCGATCTTCGATAGGACCACAATCAGGAAGCGTACCATTTTTCTGGTTTCCATCATTTTTGTGGCTCTAACACGTTCAAGTAAGTGCCCAGCCCAGTGATCCGAGGTGGATCCTTTGACCTTTGGCATTAACATTGATTGTTTCGCTTCCGCAGTCATGGCAGAGCAGACCGATTGGACACAGCTGATGATTTGGCTATCGATTTGCGGATTCTTCCGTGGCTCGGCATTGAGCAACTTCACGCTCACCGTCTCCGAGTATTGTTCGCTGGAGAAGCTGCCATCGGCCTTTGGCTGGCATTTGGTGGGCAAGGCATTGTTTGTGATATCCTTTGGGCCACTGATTGGTAAGACCGACCACACACTACCCATCCTAGTCCTAATCCTAATCGTAACTGCTTGTTTTAGGCCTCATCCGTGATCTGACTGACAGCTATCCCATTTGCATACACACCCAGAGCTTCTGCATTATGCTGTGCGCCTTCGCCTGGGGCATTGAGTATTTGGTGGAGTTCCTAAATGCGCGCCGCCGCACTGCAGATGCCGCACAGGTTCCCACGCAGGATTCGGCCGCAGCAGGAGCGCCCACGCGGACCACGCACGATGTCAAGTTGTAAAATGGAAGCTGGGGAACAAAACGAAACAAAATGCAGAAGGATTAGATATGAGCTACTATATTTATAAGGAAGACAAGGCTCGCTCCCGCTGTAGTGAGGGGATTCGCACCCACACCCCCATCCCACACCCCTTCCACACACAAAATGTATTAAAAACTTAGTTAATTGTGTGCTTTGTTCTTTTTGTTTTCTAAATGATTTAATGATTAAGAAATTACCATTTATTTTGTATTGTATTTTCGCCCCGTTGAATGATTTTTTTTTTTTTCTTATTTGGTTTCGCTTTGATTTCTGAGTTCTCTCGCTCTTTTTGTCGTTTATTTAGTGAACTTGTATGTGATAGTTCAAAGATAGTTTCTAATTTAGATGATAAACTAATACATACACCATAAATACACACACACACACACACATATACGAGACTAGATACATCTATCGTATATATCGTAAGAAAATGAGAGTTGAAGTTGATAGAAATTAATGGGCTTTAAAATGTACCTTAAGGAATGAAAGAAGGCGGTATACAAGAAATAACCTACTTATACAAGGACCAATTTTTCTCCGTGTGTGTGTGGCTTTTTTTTCGCCAATTTGATATAAATATATAAATATATATATATATACTATACTATATATATATATATACTAAGGAATAAACATTAAAACAGATCAATATCGTTTCAATTCTGATGCCAATCCAAATGCCAGAATATTGTGTACGCCCCCCTCTAAGCATATAAAACAAAAATTACAAAACGATGGTTCCTTATGCTTGTAAGATCAATGAGAATATGAGAGAGCCTTATAAATGTGCCCAAAACCTAAATATTATATTATTTTATATTATATATTTGCATGCCCATTTAGATCTAAGCTAGTTTTATGTTGTTTGCTTCGATTTCAGAAGAACTAACTTTTTCGAGCCGACTTCTCACAATTTTACGAAAGACGTTTATTTCGTATCGACAAATTGGTCAAGCCACCCCCAGAACATATAGAATATATACAAATATAGTGCAGAAATGAATAATGATACTTTTTACAACCCCCCGCCACCCCGCCACACACACAAAAATATATACAAAATCCCAACGACACAACTGAAGAAGCCAGTGTGGCGACACCTGGCGACTCATGGGCCAACTAAATGTGGCCGTTGAGCAAGTGGCTCCGTCTGGTGGCTGGCTGTAAGAAACTTTTTTACATGAGCTTTTTTTTGCTGGGTGCATCTCGTATATCCCAGCAAAAATCAAATCAAATTTTCACCCACCTGGCCGGGAAAAAAAAGACGAAATTTGTACGGAAAGTGCCTAATTACCTGTAGGACATTTGTTGCATGCCCCCCACCTAACTGTAAGATATTTAAAATTATCCAAAACGATAAGCAATAAAAACAAAACTACTACCACAAGAACAACATTCAAAAATACTACTTAAAATAAATAGAATTTTAAGCATATTTTGTGTACTTAAAGGTTCTTTCGTTTTTCGGGACAGAGAGTGAAAAGAGAGAGAGAGAGGTCGAGGGAGAGAGAGGTTTTGATACGATGCAAACTTTTTGTGGTATTGATTTGGTGCCCAAGATATTGAATGATATACAAGCATATGCATATATGTATACAATTAGAACTATATGATTATTTAATGAAGAGAATAAAGTGATGAACAAGACGAGACGAAAAAAGTGTGTTCTTCGGTTCGGGTGGTTTCAATCGAAAAGGTTGAAGTTTCGAAAGATAATGAAAGAGTGGAGGGGGGGAAGGCGAATTCTGTAAAATTCCTAATCAAAGAACATTCCCTACTACTGTTTTATGAAGTGTGAAAAGAGTCATTACCACCAGCAGCTCCACTGAGTGGATGATCATCAACAGCAATGATAATGTTTTATCATCCAAAGGCAAACAAAGTTGGAAGATAGAATGTCATAGGATATCATGTCAAAGGCACACACATGCGTTCTGTAATGCGTGAAGAATAAATTTAAGTTTTTATAAATTATGAATGAGAATGAATTCTGAGAAGATGAAGTCTGGCAGGCCACGAGGACGACCACTGGGGACCCACTGTTGTATATCTGAAAGCATTAGTTCTGCGCTCTCTCTTATCATCGAGTGCGGGAGGCGGGGGTGAGGCATTTTAATTTTTTTTTAAGATATGAAGTGATGTTAGATAAATAGCGTAAAAACGATTCGCAATTGTAATAATAATAGAGAAGGTTCTCAGAGGAGAGAGGCCGCCACTTGGCAAATATCATTTGAAAGTGTATATTGCATCATTTGGCATCTCTTCTAATCTTATCGGGAAAAGCCAAATTACATTATGAGTGGGTGGAAGATGCGCTAACAAAACCCCCTAAGCTTTGGCCATAAAACCCATATACCGCGACACCGATAAGACAGCAGAAGCATCAGGTACTGGAAGAGGAAGCCACTGCCACTGCCACTGACTTATATGATGGATGGAGAATTGATTTATGTGTAACACAGAAGCACATAGCAGACGGAGCAGACGGAGCAGACAGAGGCACGATACGCACCCAAGGTGCCACTCGAAAAGTCATTTGGAAGATCACTCAACGTTCAGCGGTTCAGGAGCAGCAGTCGCCAGGCCTCTCAGTCATCAATGAAGAAGTCCAAGTCCTACAAACTGGAGGCCCCCGATGGTGGTTGGGGCATCCTTGTGTGCATTGGCATGGCCCTGCCGTTTGTAAGTGCTACTCACCTGCAACAAAAGATATCCATACTGGATTTTCCTGGCTTTTATTCTTCCTTTCCAGACTAGTGCTTTGGCCGCTCTGCCATCGTTCGGTCTTGTTTTCGGGGACTTCCTGAAGAGTATTGGCGCAGAGACCAGTGCCATGGCTATCATCACCAGCGCCTTCTTTTCGGCCATGAGTTTTGCTGGTCTATTTTCGGGCTCGCTGTTCCAGCGTTTCGGCATGCGAGCGGTTGGCGTCACGGGTGGAGTCCTGTATTTCCTGGGAACGGGAATGCAACTGTTTGCCACCTCGACGATGCATCTAATGCTGGCGTTCAGTTTGGTGCAGGGTTTGGCCTTTGGCCTGATGGTGCCCACCTGCTATACGACCTTCAATCATTATTTTGTGAAGAATCGTGTGATGTGGATGAGCTTTGCCCAGACGCTGATCGGCCTGGGATCGATGCTCTATCCGATTGTGATGCAGAAACTGATGCAATGGTACGGCTTCCGCGGGTGCCTGCTTATCCTCACTGGCCTCAATGCCCACGCCGTCCTGGGTATGCTCGTAATGCATCCCGTCGAGTGGCATATGCGTCGTGTGCCCCTCAGCGAGGAGGAGCTGCAGCTTCAGGAGAGAGAGAAAACCACCACAGTGGTGGTGCGCATCCAGCCAGAGACTCCGCTGAAAGCTACAGAAGAAGAGCCCAAGTTTCAGCGGCGACTCTCGCATGCCGACGAGCACATGCTGAAGGTCATCTCCAGTCGGGCCTCGAGCATCACCAGCCTAGGCAACTGGTCCGGCCCAGTGGTCGTCAGCGATGCCTCGCCACAAATGCTCCACAGCCTGCAGGCATCCAGGCGCCCCTCGACAGTCAGTGGATCACCGACACCGCATACAACGGCGGCTCCCGATGCCTCCACCTCCGTCCCCAAAAAAGGATGGACCCGCACAGTTGTGGACTTTCTAGATCTGACGCTCCTGAAGAAGCCCATCTACGTCAACATTGTGCTGGGCATCACCTTTGCCCTATACTCGGACATCACGTTCTTCACCATGCAGCCGGTCTATCTGTTTGAATTGGGATACAGCAGGGTGAGTATTACTGCACACATATATCAATTTACTAGCTTACCCGGAGAACCATTTGTCGCAGTATTGTGAACTATTGCTGTTCCGAACGATCCGTGCCGTGAGAAAGCCTGAGTTGCACTTTTCCTGAGGCGCAACACATTCCATCCCACTCATGTTTGAATTTTTCGAGATGAAGAACCAAAATGGATGAAAATTCATTTTCTTGATCCCGTCCCTCTTGTGATTGTATTTCACGCAATTGCGATAATCTCACATGCAAATTTTCGTTATTTTATTGGATACGTTGGTCTGTTCTGTATGCTCTAAAATTTGGCATGGTTTCTTTTTTGTTCCTACCAATCACGACAAGGAAAGTTAAAAAATAGTTAATACCTTTTAAAGATACAAAAAAATGCATCGGTCCACCGTTTGTGAGGAGTTCAAACACAAACACTGCGACACGAAATTTGTATATAAGGATATTATCTAACTTCGGTAAACCAAAGTTCAGAATTTTATTGGCTGGATTTAAAAAAAATTAACTAAAAATTAAATTATAAATTTAACATTTCTTTTAATCTTACCTTTTATCGAAAAATTCACACAAACACGCCTCGGCATATAAAAATGTCATTTCTATATCGCTAAAATGAAAAGAAATTAAATATTAAATTATAATTTTCTTCAAAAAATTTCATTAGCATTTCATTAGTTGTTTTTGGAGAAAAAAATATACGAGCGCTCGCAGGATTTTTGATTCATGTCTATAGAGTGGATATTCTTGAAGATATCGCTACCCAAATCATAAATTTATTTTTGTTTTTGTATTGCTATGTGTTATCTTCGAATCTAAAATTTGCACCAAAGTTCGGGAATGTTCGATAGAGAAAAAAACACTTAGAATAGAAACATGCGGAACGGATCTTTTTTCTCGCTCGCGCAACTTCCAAAATGCGCGAGAAGCGACGAGCAAAAGAGACTCGGTACAAAATCGGACTAATCGGCGAATGAAATGGGAGAGACGGAAAAAAGACGCGAAACCGACGTCGCCATTTTGACTTTATGCTCGCTATACACACAAGCACAAAACGCGAGTTAAAATTGCAAAATTTCATTCCGAATTGCATGAAATAAACACATAACCTTAAAAAAGACCTTAGCGAACCGAAGAAAACACTCAATATTAAACGAAAATTCGGTGTTCCGAATATATAACGTAAAAATATAACATATTATATTAAATATATCACATATATCATAATTAAAATTGAATAATATTTTAATTTTTCGAAGCTTTACCTCTTTATTTGCTCTTAAATACTTCTGGTTTATTTCTTTACATTTTTTTGCACTAAAATTCACTTATTTGTTCTGCGCGTACGTCCGTCTCGGTACAGTTCGGTTTGACTTCTACGCATGCGCTCGAACCGCTGCCTGGCATCCAGCCGCCGGGGAACATACAAAAAGCTACAACCGACGCTGCCGCCATTTTATTTTTCATCTCCGCTTCACACGCTCACACACATATGTATATAGAACACAAAAGAGCAAAAGAGACTCGGTACAAAATCAGACAAATCGGCGAATGAAATGGGAGAGACGGAAAAGAGACGCGAAACCGACGTCGCCATTTTGACTTTATGCTCGCTATACACACAAGCACAAAACGCGAGTTAAAATTGCAAAATTTCATTCCGAATTGCATGAAATAAACACATAACCTTAAAAAATACCTTAGCGAACCGAAGAAAACCCTTAATATTAAACGAAAATTCGGTTTTCCGAAAATATAACGTAAAAATATAACATATTATATTAAATATATCACATATATCATAATTAAAATTGAATAATATTTTAATTTTTCGAAGCTTTACCTCTTTAATTGCTCTTAAATACTGCTGGTTTATTTCTTTAAATTTTTTTGCACTAAAATTCACTTATTTGTTCTGCGCGTACGTCCGTCTTGGTACAGTTCGGTTTAACTTCTACGCATGCGCTCGAACCGCTGCCTGGCATCCAGCCGCCGGGGAACATACAAAAAGCTACATCCGACGCTGCCGCCAGTTTATTTTTCATCTCCGCTTCACACGCTCACACACATATGTATATAGAACACAAGAGAGCAAAAAGAGTCTCGGTACAAAATCAGACAAATCGGCGAATGAAATGGGAGAGACGGAAAAAAGACGCGAAACCGACGTCGCCATTTTGACTTTATGCTCGCTATACACACAAGCACAAAACGCGAGTTAAAATTGCAAAATTTCATTCCGAATTGCATGAAATAAACACATAACCTTAAAAAATACCTTAGCGAACCGAAGAAAACCCTTAATATTAAACGAAAATTCGGTTTTCCGAAAATATAACGTAAAAATATAACATATTATATGAAATATATCACATATATCATAATTAAAATTGAATAATATTTTAATTTTTCGAAGCTTTACCTCTTTAATTGCTCTTAAATACTGCTGGTTTATTTCTTTACATTTTTTTGCACTAAAATTCACTTATTTTTTCTGCGCGTACGTCCGTCTCGGTACAGTTCGGTTTAACTTCTACGCATGCGCTCGAACCGCTGCCTGGCATCCAGCCGCCGGGGAACATACAAAAAGCTACAACCGACGCTGCCGCCATTTTATTTTTCATCTCCGCTTCACACGCTCACACACATATGTATATAGAACACAAGAGCGCAGAAGAGACTCGGTACAAAATCAGACAAATCGGCGAATGAAATGGGAGAGACGGAAAAAAGACGCGAAACCGACGTCGCCATTTTGACTTTATGCTCGCTATACACACAAGCACAAAACGCGAGTTAAAATTGCAAAATTTCATTCCGAATTGCATGAAATAAACACATGACCTTAAAAAAGACCTTAGCGAACCGAAGAAAACACTCAATATTAAACGAAAATTCGGTGTTCCGAATATATAACGTAAAAATACAACATATTATATTAAATATATCACATATGTATATCATAATTAAAATTGAATAATATTTTAATTTTTCGAAGCTTTACCTCTTTAATTGCTCTTAAATACTGCTGGTTTATTTCTTTACATTTTTTTGCACTAAAATTCACTTATTTGTTCTGCGCGTACGTCCGTCTCGGTACAGTTCGGTTTAACTTCTACGCATGCGCCCGAACCGCTGCCTGGCATCCAGCCGCCGGGGAACATACAAAAAGCTACAACCGACGCTGCCGCCATTTTATTTTTCATCTCCGCTTCACACGCTCACACACATATGTATATAGAACACAAGAGAGCAAAAGAGACTCGGTACAAAATCGGACAAATCGGCGAATGAAATGGGAGAGACGGAAAAAAGGCGCCTTTGCACATGCGCGTAGCTACACGAATTCTTTGAGTTCTTTTTCTGCTCGGCTTTTACTAAGACCCAGCTACTGCGCTGTCGCCGCTGCCCGGCATCGAGTCGCCTGGAAACAGCGTTCAAACCGACAAAGCACACACACACACATAACTCAATGGTAGAGAGGGAAAAAGTTTCCTGCTCGGACGTGGTTCGGCTTTTACTGAATGAGAGGGGGGGGTGGTGGGGGGGGGGGGGGGGGAATTGCGCATTTGCTCTTGGAAATAGCTATGCATGTACATACATATTTGGCTATATATAAACTATATTTTAATAATATATTGGTTGTTGTTCCATCCGTACCCACAGCCCGACACTGCTACTATTATAGCAATTGGAGCAGCCGCCGATTTAATATCGCGAATTTTTCTGGCCGTCACCGCTGTTTGCATACAAGTGCCCTCTCGATATATTTACTTGGCCGGAGCTGTCTTCACGGTCTTTGCTAGATTTGGTACGCAACCTCCATTGGAGGAAGAGAAGCAGGGGGCCTAATAGAAACTTTTTTTTCATTCACTTTTTTTCATTCACTCACCAGTTTTTAATGGAATCACAGAGTTCGTGGGAATGGCCTGCATCACCGGAGTTATAGGATTTTTGCGCACGTGGCTGCATGTGCCGCTGCCTCTTGTTTTTGCCGACTATTTGCCCAAAGAGAGGTCAGTTCGCGATCTATTGAGCGTTGGATTAATAATCATTAATACTCTTGTTCCCGCACAGATTTGCCACCGGCTACGGACTGTTTATGTTCACGCAAGGAAACGCCATGTTTCTCATCGGACCGATCGTCGGCATTATCCGCGACAAGACACGCGACTACATATTAGTTTTTCACATTTTGAACGGGTTTATGATTCTTTGCGCCGTACCCTGGGTCATCGAGGTGCTCATTGTTAAATTTCGGAGACGCAACAAAATCGAACGCAATAACGTCGATCACGAGGATGTGCCCGACACGGGGCGCAGTACAGTTGTCCACTGAAAACCACTCACACTTGCTTGTATTCTCTGTCTGAAATAAAGATAAAAACTATAAAAAAATGTTTCAACTTATGGCGGCCAACGGAATTGGCAGTGCTGCAGTTCGACTACGTACGTACGAGCATCAATAGTAAAGTTGGCAATCAATCGATAGTACGAAAGGCAATTACGATTCTTCCTAAGTATTTTGAAAATAAATACAACTATTTTCAAAAAGATTCCTAATTAAAAAAATTAAACCATTAATTAAAACATTGGGATGTTTTGCCAATTCTTTGCTTGTTATAAACCATTCATTTTTTTATCGAACTATCAAAATTGAAATATATCGTACAAAATCGAACACTAGCTATTGCAAGTGATTATATGTTTACTATATAGTAAATATCAATAAATGATCAATTTTGAGCAATTTATTGTTATTATATCGAGAAAAATTACTTTTAAATATTGTATGCGCAATAATATAATAATATCAATATAATTATCCAAATTTTCTAAACGTTAGTTGCCATCGATATATAAATTTTGGTAATTACATAAAAATGTATTTAATATGTAGCAAATGTGTAGTTAACGTGTAGTTACCATGTAAGGAAATTAATTTAGTGGAAATTAAACCTTATTTTATAAGCAATACAATAAAGATGAAGATTTAAATTGAAGCAGTATTGTAGGAAATTAATTTAATAACAAGATAAGATTACAAGTTCAGCCCTGAGGGTCCTAGCTAACTAGTATTTTTCAACCGAACATAAAAGTCGAGGAATAAGATGGAACTTGAATAAAAATAATTTGTCAAAAATTGAACCGACGGTATATTTTGTCAATTTCATCAATCTATTAAATTTCATTTTCAACTTTATATAAAAAACCAATAAAAGCAAGTATTAAGAATTGGCCAGTCAAGTAGAATATTGAATCAGTAATTGGATAAAATTATGTGGGCATGGCTAAATGTTCTATATAGCTGGTAATATTCGATGGAAGATCAAAATGTTGCTAGTTCACGCAAAATGTTTCTGGTCATACCCTGGGGAAAAGGATACTATAGAGTTGAGTCCCAGGCTCCAAAAAAGGCAAAAACAACTTTGTCTCTGTTTTAAATATCACAACGATATTTTGCAGTTTATTGTGTTCTTACAGAGACCAAGAATGGGTATCAGGATCGAGAGATGCAAGATACCAATCATATTCATGAAAATGTCTAAAACATATCAATTTGAGAAAAGATCTTTATTAATTACGTTTTATCTTCATATCTTCATATTAAATCAACGAAATAGGGTATACAAAGGCCTATACATCATATCTTCAAATACCAGCAACATTGCGACTTTTTTTTGTTGAACTATTTTGTTTAAGCCTTATTTTAATAAAAATAAAATAAAAACAAGGACTAAAAACTAGCCAATCTTGAAGAAAATTTATTCATCAAAGGCCTACAATTATGTGGGCATTGCTGACGGTTCTATCCAGCTAGTAATATTCAACCGAAGATAAAACTGAGGAATATGTAAAATATATCTTCAATTCGTCAGTATATTTTAGGTATATTTTTAAAATGAGACGGTATATTTTGGTATATTTCTACATATAATGGTCAATCGCGAACAAAACAACAACACAGGGTCGAATTTTTTAAAATAGCTCGTTTTCGGCAATTATGTTGCAACAAATAAGGATGCTGCTGCTCAGCATCGTTACGCTTTGCCGGCGTGCCTTATGCTGCTTCTCGCGGCGCCGGAAATTGAGCCACAGCGGCGGTGGTATCACATCCAACGGGGACCAGCTCCAAGCCGTCAACGTAATTGTGGAGCGGGGGGACTTTGCGGCGGCTGCTGGATCAGCAGGTGGTGGTGGTGGCAGTCGGTCAATCGGAAGGGAGCGGGACTGGAACTCGTGGGACGACAGCCCCCGAACCGTGGAGGAGCACATAGAGCAATACCGTCAGCGCATGGCCCAGCCCCCAACGCCGCCCAAAGAAGAGCCCGAGCCGGATTTCTTTAGTGTGAGTGGTATTGGTATTTGGCACAGACGGTGATATGTCCCGAATAATCTATAATTGTGTTCGATTTTGCAGGAGCTGACGCCCACCATCAAGCCCCAGGTGAAATACTTTCTGGACGATCCCACAGCCACGGCTGCGTCGAACCAACAAACCGACTTTTCAAGACTGCAGGCCCAGGATGTGGTACCCATCAGCGATACTGTAAGATCATAGCCATTGTTCCCTCGAACAATTTATCTGACTTTCGCCTTATTTTACTGTCTGCAGGCCGATCTCGAGGACTGGGTGGATGACAATCCTGGCGGCTGGGAGGAGCTGGACACCTCAGGGACCAAGCAAATCATACGCGAGAAGCGGCGCGAGGCGCGGCAACAGCGTCAGCCGTTGACCAAAGCCGTCCAACCGACCATTGGAGCCCAGCGCCTGAGCGACATCCATCGCGTTGCGTAGCTGTCAATGTGCCACCTCCTCCCCCCCCACTACCCCACTCCCATCATTTAGCATTCCATGTCCATTTTCCCCGTACTGTTTTTCCCATTTGGCTGTTTCTTTATCGGCTGCCTTCCAGTACAGTTTCTAGTACAAGAGTGGCTTGGATTTAGTTGATTGGGCACACAAAATAAATCTTGCCTTTCATTTGCACTTCCCTACCGGTCCCAGGCCCAATCGTTGAGCCACCACTTCCTGATGGCTCTGCGGTTGCTTTGCCAATTGCCGCACGACACGCTTCATTGGCCCCAAAAGAGCTAGAGGAAGGCCTTAAAAGGGCCGTCCGTTGCTGAGACATTATGCTTTCATTACCATGCTGTTGCCGGAGCTGCTGCTGCTGCTTGGCCTAGCCGTGTCCATGTCGGAGTCGTACGACGGCAGTGTCAACTATTGGGAGGCGTTTTCACCAGGCAAGCTGCTGCAACGATTGGATGCACTCACCCTGACAGATGTGGACCAGAGCAAAATGGGAAAGCTTCCCGAAATGATCCAGGTCCTGGCAGGAACTCAGTCTCAAGCCAAGGCTCAGGCCGAACCCAAGGCGGATGACGATGTGGATGTGGCGGATGATGACGTGGAGAGCCTGAGTGGCGAGACCAGCCATGAAGCGCCGCATTCTGGTGAGGATTACGAGCGCAACTACGAAAAGTTTGTGAAGGAATACTTCGATCGGGCTTCCTCGGACGATGGGGATGCAGATGGGGATGAGGGCAGCAGCAGCCTGGAGCAGACACAAGCGGAGGCCAGCAACCGCAAAGATCAGCGCTGTCGTCGCGTGCAGCGTCAGGGCCAGCTCTGCGAGATTTGCCGCCAGGCCAAAAACAATGAAGTCTCGGAGACCTGCAGCTACTCGAATGCGGAACAGCCGCAGAAGTATGCCTATGACAGTGGCAGCCAGTACAAGCGCTATCGCGACAATCCGCAGGAGGATGACGACGGCAGTGAGCAGGAATCCGTTACCGTAGAGGCAAAGGAGGAGTCATCCGCCCCCAGCAGCCTTTGTGTGCGTCGGCAGAAGGGTAAACGCGTCTGCTATCAGTGCAAGGACAGCAAGGGCAAGCGACTGGAGCGCTGCTACGATGTCCAGGAAAAGCGAAGAAAGGAGAAGGCCATATCCGCAGTCGCATCCAAGACCAAGTCCAAGGCCTCCTCCTCCAAACGGAAGCCACGTGCCCAACAATCACAGCAATCGGAGCAAGAGCAGCGCATCTACAAGCGTACCATCAGCTACAGCTATGCCCAGGGCACCAATCCGGATGAGGAGCAGCCGCCGCCGGCGGAGATCACGACTGAAGCAGTAGCACTGCCAGCTAACCAACATCGTCGCCGTCGCTTGGTCAAAATACTGCGGCGACGGGGCCCCGTTCCGTGATCGCACATTTCATTCCCGTTCCCGCACCGCTCCCCCTGCTCCCAGTAGCTAAGATCTAATATTAAAAATTTTTTTGTTTGCAATAAAAGTTTTCATACAAAGAAGGGAGGACTACCCTATGAATTTAAGTTATATTATGTCTCGTGAAATATATATATCAGTTCTTTAGATATCCCATTAAACGATGGCTAAAATATTTTCTATCCTCGACATGAAGATACCCCACGGCATGGCATGGGAAGTTCCTCCCGATGAAACACACAGAATATACATATATATATTTTAAATTGAACAACAATACATTCACAAAAATTTCCTTTATTAGGCCGTCTCCAATAGAGGGTTTCGGGGGAATCAGAGTCTCCTCGACTGTTTTGAATTCTTAGACAAACAAAGCACAGACACAATTTGGTTACGTTTTACACATTGGCATAAGTAGAGAGAACATGGAAGCAATTACGATTTGCGAACAATATTTATGTTTTATCTTAACTCTAGTTTTTGTAGCTGCCAAAAGAGATATAGATATAGATCGATAGATGCGTTCGTTTCGAAAGGAAAGGGATAGAGGCTGGGGTTAAGTATTGGCACAGCAGTAGTGCAAGTCGTGCGCACAAGTCGGTTATTAAATGCATTATATGGAATTGTTAACATTTTGTGAAACCATACAAAATACATTATAATCATGGGACTTCAAGGCATCCAATACAAAGATAGATGTTTAGATATATAGCTATAGAGAGTCTTATCAACTATACGCTGTTTTCTTTATATTTTGGGGTGCCTTTGTGTGCCATTTGAACGGATAAAAACGCTAGTTGCTTGTGGTTTGACAATTACAATATATGGTGTATGTATGTTTGTGGTGGGTGGCGGAGGGGGGTCCTGCAATCAATTTTTATCAGACAGTAGACAACAGAATAGTATTTAAAAGAGACACCAAGATGCTCTCTACTGACTGTCTTATAGCCTAATGTTCGTATGTTCGTTCGTTATAATGCTCACAAAAATTTCGTTGAATTCGTTGAGTGGACCGCTTAGCCGTAGTATTTTGTGCAAAAATTGTTTACCATCGGCTAATATATGTATATGTATATGTATATAGGTGTAGTAGGTACATAATGAGTAAAATATAAATTGTATATAAGACATCTATATAAATTGGCTGGCCTAAACTTTTCTCTTTCTCTCTGTGTGTGTGTGTGTGTGTGTAGGGGGGATCAATCACAATGATCATAAATATATGACGTATATATTGTTATTGCTAAAGCTTTTACTTCCATCATCATTCAGCATTGTTCTGTTTGTAGCTCTTTTGGCGTACGTTTTGTGTGTGTGTGTTTAAAATCATTATATATCTATTATATATATATATATGATAGATAATGGATAGATTTATAAGGTGATGCACTTTTTTGTATATAGTATGAAATTATACCATATTTTTTAAAGCTTCTTTTTTGTTTTCCTTTTGTATTGTGCATAAATAAAACTTAGGCAATTAATTAGTTTTTTTAAGCTTAAAAATATACACACATGCACAAATACATATATACTTATATATATGTGCAATATACACACACATTTAAGAACATTTAATAAACATTATCTTTCTTTTTGGATGCTTTTCGTTTCATTTTGTTTCGCTTCGTTTCGTAATTTGTTCTGTGGTTTGGCACAAATGTTTCGTTTCGTACGTTATACAGAGAAAAAACAAAAGAACACAAAAAAAAAAAAAAATAAAATAAAATAAAATATTACAACTTTAAACATAAACATAAAAACAATTTGTATAATTAGAATATATATATATATATTTAACTAGGATGCAGTGGCTGCCGTATCTATCTGACGAACTGGTTGAGGCTGGTCCTGCTGTTGCTGTTGTTGCTGTTGCTGTTGCTGGTTGTTGTGCCGGTAGCGGCTGCGGTTGTGGTGGTCGTGAGGCTGGTGAGGCAGGGTATACCCTCCAGGAGTATGGCTGCCGGCACAACAACAGCAGCTGGCGCTACAATTTCGACTACATTAATGGCTGCCTCTTGGGGCGACATGGCCTTGGGTGTACCAAAGTAGATAAGCGAATTATAATATCAAAGCTCGTCGTTAGGCGAATGCTCCTGCACGTACTCCTTGGGAAAGTAGCCAACCTGTTGTCAAACAAAGCATTTATATATACATATATTTAAGGAAAACATAGCCACAAGGGCTTTGCTGCACGTACTGTATCACCAATCTTTCCACGCCACCAGCCCTTGCTGTCCCCATCTTTGCCAATAACCAATATCTGGCAATCAGTGCGCAGCTGCAATTGATTGCTCCCTGGCTTCGGTTCGTAATCGTACAGGGCAGTGGCTATTACTTCACGATATGGCCACTGCAATAATGTATTTAATCTGCGAAAATTTTAAATAATTCTGTAAATAATCTAGATCTTGTTACATTCATGTGGAGACCTCTTACCCGGCGAAATTCTCGCCTAGATCGTTTCTTTCATAGTAGGAAACCAGCTCGACAATGGTCTTGAAATGTCTACGTGCCGACAGGCAATAGAGCATGCCCTCTGTGCCAATCTCCTGATTGATTTTCATATGTTTAATCACATGATCATCGGTTCTGAAGAGAGGAATAAAAGATACATTAACAGAAAGACTTGGATCACCGTACTCACTTTAGGCTCAGGGCATACATCGTCTCATGGGCCGTCGATGGCCCCTGAGGGCGTACCCGCAGCAAATACGTGCCAATGCGTCGATTCTCCAGACGATTGGCCGCCGTCTCGCGGTCCATGTTGCCCACAAACCAATTGAACTCCGTTAGCTGGCGATCGCAGACGGGCGGCGGTTGGGTTATGGGATTCTGCTTGCAACGACCCGTCGACGAGATGCAGCCCTTGTGGACGGCTATGAGGCACACCTTGCAGCGGTAGCCCTGATGGATGCGACCCTTCAAGAACTTGGAGCAGTGCCGGCATGATGTTGGTGTATCGAACGTGAAGATTTCCATTTTGTGATCCGTATTGCGGCAGCCAGGAGGGTCAAGACTCTCCCTAAAAACGCAAAAAACATGATTGATATAGATCATAGATGCGGCGGGGGCATATACTACTCACATTGCCTCGGTAAGAGCCTTGCGCCACTTGTCCCGCTCATGCTCCGACTTGAGATACAGCGTAAAGGCCGTCTTGCCCGATTTGCGGGCCAACAAAAGCTGGTATTTGAAGCGCGTATCCCGGCCGAGGGTGCGTCGCGAGTGACTTTGCTCCACGCGGTAGTCGGCCAGGTTGTGCGAGTCGCGATATGTGTACTGCATGTCCCCCGTTTTGATGTGCAACGACTTGACCATGATGAGAATCTTGTCAAAGACAAAGGCATACCGGAGCTTGGTCTTTTGATCCTCGTGGGCCTTGATGTGCAGCTCCCCATCGAGGAGGAGGCGTCCGTACTGGAGAAGATCGTTGCCATTCTGGAGCAGGTGCAGATCGAATATGCTGTCCTTCACCTTCTGTATGATAACCAGATGGTCCGAGTCGCGCTTCACCTCATTAATGTACTGCGACACATCGATCATGGCCTCCTTGGCCCGCTCCAGCGAGCGGTAGTCCTCATGCTGTGGCGCCGTCTCCTTCACGAGCTTGTCCAGCAACAGATGGTACTTTAGGATGCGTTGCATGGGCACCGACAGTATGTCGCGCAACTGCAGCTTTCCCACATTGTACTCGCGCTCGCATTTCTGCACCAGCTGGTCGATGATCTGATTCTTCTTGCACACATCCGCCAGATAGTCGATGGCACCCAACAGGCAGCTGCAGTACTCGCCGTAGATGAGGAATGGCTCACGGAAATCCATGAATACCTGGGCCATCCTCAGCTTGTTGCTGGGCGATAGGGCTTCTCTCAGTCTATCCAGGAATCTCGTGTGAATGTCGGCCAGCTCCTGGACATGAACACAAATTAAAAAGGGATTCGAAAATGATAACGATCCCTGGGGGATACTCACCCTAATTCGGGGAAATATTAGCCGTAGCTCGTCCTGGTTGAGATGCCGTTCCAGCGGACCCATAAACTTCAACTTAAGGGCATTGAGAACATCCAGATAGTTGGACTCTGTGTCGATTAGCTCCCGTATCACGTAGTCGCGCTGCTCGAAGCTGGTCGATGAGGCTGTCTAAATGGGCGCAGAAAAGCAGATAAATTAGTTCGGCAAGGAGCTGGATGGAAACAGAACGGCGTCTCATGCACATGGAGTTGCTACAACAGCAACAGCGTTCTACCTGGCTTCTACTCGTCCTGTGCAGGGCGCACAAGTCTTGGTAGACCTCCTCTTCTTTTGTGTTGGTGTGATCGTAACCGGTTCCATTGCATGCAATATTGTCGGTGGTACTAAACGAAAATGACAAAATCAAACAATACCAAATTATAATATCATAGAAATCGAACAAAAGCATAAACATAGGCAAAACTTTTAACGAAAACATAAAGTAAAATCGATACTTGAAATGTTTGAGCTCGATTGGTTTTGACCGCGTTCATCGAGCACAAAGCATCGCATCGATATCCTACATTCGATATTTTACTATCGATTAGCACGCCAACTTGGCGACGCCTAGAGACCTAGAACAGTGCAGAATTTCATTTTGTCAATTTTCGCTGGTGGTGTAGACACTAACCATACAGTATATACTGTATTAGTGTTAGTGGTGTAGAGCTGTCAAACCATCCGTAGTGGCGACACTCGATAGTTTTGATTCCGACCGATAAGAACTCGATAGTATCACTACGAGTAGCAAAACCATCGATAGTAGTGCCATCGACGGTTTAACACCTCTATTTTTGTGTGAGTGAGCATTGTGCGCGGCTGAGAAGAATCGTAGAACCTCATCGGATTTTGTTTAATAAAAAATAAACGAAATGGAGCATCATACATACGCTAAAAGTGACGCGAAATCATGTAAGTTGGACGACGAGCACACGTGTTTCCCCCGCTATTCTGATGCAGGCAATTTTTTGTCTTTTTTTTTTGTTTGTTTGTTCCTACTGCATTTGTAGGGACCGTAGAGCAGACGCGCCGCCTGGTGACAAAGCGCATAAATGCGGATCATATGTTCAAGAAACCCTCGCTGCGGAACGAGCGGGAGTGGAAGTAAGTTTCTTGTTTCTTATTTTATTGCGTATTGCCACTGTACAGGCTTGCCTTTCAAACGGTGTACGAAATAAGCTGTGTAAAACGTATACAGGCATGGGGTGGTGTACGAAATAAGCTTTTTTCGGAACAAATGTATGTAGATCGAACACTATCGATGCATTTGCACTTCTGCAGGGCTTTTAAGGAAATGGCTAAGATTGATGATTTTGATTGGAAAGAATTGCGAAATCAATGGCAAGCCCTGCTGCAAGTCTATCGCATTAATAGAAATGGCATCAGTGCGCCAATCACCAATCAGATTATCGTAGCAATCAACAAGAAATGGGAGTTTTTCGGTGAAATCCATCAATATATGATCAAGAAGAATGACCATCATTCGTATGCACAGAATGCAACGAATGATCTGAATGCGCAGTCGAAAGTGACTAAGCAGGTAACCAAAAACGTAACCATCGAAGTGGCACCGGAAATCGTGCCCCCAAGTCCTAAAACTCCGAAAAATGTGGTGGAAGTAACCCAGTTGATGTTTATCCTAAGAAGGATATCGAGAAGGGTTCCCTAAACGCAGCAGAGATTAAGACGGAAAAAGGTGAAGAGGCGAACGACAATGGGGTGGAGGTCGTCGTCGCACCTGAACCATTTGTTTTTATTCCTGAGACAGCGAAAAACGTGCCACCAAATCAGCAGGACAACGCCAAGGAAGACGAGGGCAAGAAGGGTTTCATAGCCCCAACAAAGAATAAGACGGCAAATCGTTCTTTGACTCTGCCAATAGGGGAGAGAGGGCCACTCTCGCAATCTCTGCCCCCCCCCATAGTCCGAGAACAATGAAAACAAAAAAACCTCTGCTCAGCCCGAGGCTCGTAAGTCTCGCAAGCGTCCGGCTGAAGAGGAACTCAGCGAGAAGGATAAGGACTACAAGTGAGTTATCTATCGTATGCCTGCCTATCAACTGGTTAATGATAATCTTTCCCCTTCCCGCCGTCTTCCTATTCCATTCCACAGACATTGCAGTCGCTATTATCAGCTTATGGAGAAGCGTCTCAAATTATTGGGCCGGGCTTTGAGTAAAATGTTGATCCCTTTGGCCACATTTCTAGATGTTCAGATCGAGGTGTCGGATCTAGAGGAGTTATTTGCAGCCGACTCGGAGCCATCGCCGGTTGGCAGTGTCAGTAGCACTGATGAGGACTCCAATCAGTAATAAACAAAAGATCGAAACAGAGTACTGGGCGAGTAGTCTATAAGTAAGGAAGAAGAGGAGCCCAAGGCAGAGCCAAAGAAGCTACCACTGAAACAGGGTCCACGTTTTTGTTATCCCCCCATATTATTTGTAATTTTTTTTTTTTTGTGTTAGTTCCTAGCTGCTGCCCCGCAAATGAGTGCGTGAAAATCAGGAATAAACCAAAGGTCGAAACAGAGTACTGGGCGAGTAGTCTATAAGTAAGGAAGAAGAGGAGCCCAAGGCAGAGCTAAAGAAGCTACCACTGAAACAGGGTCCACGTTTTTGTTATCCCCCCATATTATTTGTAATTTTTTTTTTTTTGTGTTAGTTCCTAGCTGCTGCCCCGCAAAGGAGTGCGTGCAAAAGACTTTGTGTTAGTTCCTAGTTTCTGCCCCGCAAATGAGTACGTGAAAATCAGGAATAAACCAAAGGTCGAAACAGAGTACTGGGCGAGTAGTCTATAAGTAAGGAAGAAGAGGAGCCCAAGGCAGAGCTAAAGAAGCTACCACTGAAACAGGGTCCACGTTTTTGTTATCCCCCCATATTATTTGTAATTTTTTTTTTTGTGTTAGTTCCTAGCTGCTGCCCCGCAAAGGAGTGCGTGAAAATCAGGAATAAACCAAAGGTCGAAACAGAGTACTGGGCGAGTAGTCTATAAGTAAGGAAGAAGAGGAGCCCAAGGCAGAGCTAAAGAAGCTACCACTGAAACAGGGTCCACGTTTTTGTTATCCCCCCATATTATTTGTAATTTTTTTTTTGTGTTAGTTCCTAGCTGCTGCCCCGCAAAGGAGTGCGTGAAAATCAGGAATAAACCAAAGGTCGAAACAGAGTACTGGGCGAGTAGTCTATAAGTAAGGAAGAAGAGGAGCCCAAGGCAGAGCTAAAGAAGCTACCACTGAAACAGGGTCCACGTTTTTGTTAACCCCCCATATTATTTGTAATTTTTTTTTTTGTGTTAGTTCCTAGCTGCTGCCCCGCAAAGGAGTGCGTGCAAAAGACTTATAAATAAGAAACGAAAAGGAAAAGACTATTACTCGTATTAACTAAAAACGTTATCGAAATTTAAGAAAGACAAAAATACACACTGATAGATAGGTGCTGTTGAATCGTTAAGCAAAGACTAGATTTAATATTACAAGAAAGAAGGAAACAGAAAAGCTACACATTAAAAGTTGGAGAAGAAAGGAAACAAAAAAGAATACAGAAAGCTGAAGACAGAATAAACAACAACATCGAACATAATAGCAATAAATTTTACAACGAATTGTTAAACAAATCAAAATCAAGAAGAAGAGATCGCAACCGAACAAAACGTGAAATGGCATTTTCATTGAAATCAGCAATGGTTCAGGGGCATCAATGAGGCTCACGGCACGTGCATACGGATGTGTATTCTCCGAGCAACAATACTGGATTCTTGCGGAAAAGGGTAATCATTGCCGAACAAATGTTCTACACGGTTTCGATTTTTAGCAACGATATGGCAGGAACATTTGAAGCCTCTATTTATAGGATTGTTTTAATAAGAGTCAATAATTACCCACCCAATCAATTATACATATTGTAGTGCGATAATCTGTTTGGAGCTGGAGCAGCAGCCAATGCAAATCCAATAACAATCAGGCGGCGGCGGCTGCGGCGGCGGACACAGATGAATGATAGGGCGACAGCCTTATCGGCAAAAGGAATGACAGGCAGGTGTCCCCATAACCCAGTGTGTATTTCGGATCGATACACAATCCATAATCCACATTTGAACGATGGCTGGGCCCCACAAATTTTAGCAATATGCTGGATGGACGGGCCCTCAAACGGTGTCAAATATAGGTGGGGGTATCGTTTTGGGGATATTTTGCCTTATAAATGATAAATATGGTAACGGTATAGATATACAAACAGAAGCAAAATAAAGAAAAGGCTAACCTTTGGGTGCGGTGCATTGCATTTGGTGGGTGTGATGTGTTCGGTAGTAGTTTTCTTAAGACTAAACAGATATTCAGATTTCAGTACAGGTAGAGTAAAGCAGGGGAGGGGTAGAGCTGGTGGTCTGGGGAATGGGTTAAGAATGAGGATGAGGACTACGCAGAGACTACTACAGGGAGAGAGTAAGGTTAGTAATGGATAGACGGCACACCTCTGGTTTTGGCTTCGTTTGGAAGGTGACATAGCACAGATCCTCGTAGACCTTCTCGTCGTCCTCGCTGTAGATGTACGAGTACTCATGCTCCGAGGAGCTAGTCGACGGACATGACCGATAATTGTAGACTGCGGCAGCGGCCTTCTGCAGCCACTGGCTCTCGTTGATGAACAGCGACGAGTTGGAGGCATGCAACAGCGACAGTGTCGATGCACAAAACGATGCATTCGATGCAAATGCCTCGGCAGCAGCCTCCGAGGTGCTTGGCTTCGGTGCCTCCCGCAGGAGGGCAGCAGTGGTGCGTGTGGGCGCCAGGGTTTCCGGCGGTGAGGAGACTGTGGCTAGAGGCACGCCCTCAAGCGAGGCAGTGTCGTCCAGCGAGAGGTCAAAGGAGAGGGTTTTCATGGAACCATTGCCACCGCCATCGCCACTGCCGCTGCCGCCACTGCCCGAGTCATTGTCCATGGTCCCATCGCCGATGTCGTCCATATCATCAATATCGTTGTCCTCGGTGCCATTCTCAATGGTTATATCGCTATTCTCATCCTCAACCGACACGGACCCAGAGCCGCTCTTCAAAGTCCGTTCGTAGAATCCTTCCCTGGCGATGGTGGCGGCGGATGATGCAGGCACGACGGCGGCATCGATGCTGTTTGTTTTTCGCATTTCACTGCCCGTCGGGAATGCAGTTTTGTTTTTGAGGGTAAAAGCAATAAACGCACACACACACACACACACACACACATGTTACAACACGCACACAATGATTGGTTGTGTGTTAGAAGGAGAGAGAGAGAGAGAGAGAGAGTTACAGAAATGATAGAGATAGAGCGTGAGAGAGAGCGAGAGAGTGCGTGTTAGATAAAAGCAACGGGACAATGGGATTTTACTCAAATTTTTCTTTCGTTTTTGTTTTTGATAAGCACCCAGAGAGAGACGCAAGGGCTTAGGCGATCTGTACGTGGACGCATAATGGTAAAGAGATTGTGTGGGGAAGGGGGAGCGGAAATGCAAAATACATTGCATATCCGTTATGCTGCGAGAACCGCAGGAGGTGCATTTTTATGAAAGACACAACAAAACTTACGTGGAGTGCAGATCCTTGTAAATGGCCTCATCCGAATGGGAACGTTCGCTGGGCGATAGCAGAAGGTTGAAACCGCTGCAAAAGAAGATCCAGTAAGAATCACAATTGGGGGGAGCTGGTGTGATGCAAGCATAACCAGGGATGGGGTAACTGCTTCCAATAGCATTATGCAGAACAAGCAGTTTGATCCCGTCTCTGGTGGTATTGGTGGTGGTGCTGCTGCAACAACTGCACTGCTCTTCACACACTCACACTAGATCCGGATGGAGCTGCTGCACCTTGCGACACTGCGACAGCTTTGAGAGCGTGATCAGCACCCGATGGAAGTTGGTCAGATCGTAGAGCATGGTGGGCTCAAACAGATCCGCATCGCGTATACCAAAATTATTGTGACAGACATCCAGGAAGAGCTTGATGTTCTTGCTGCACAGAAACTGGAGAAAGGAAAACCGCAATGATGATGACGATGATGTAGGAGGATCGTAATGGTTGCATGGTGCCCCACCTGGGCCATTTGTGGCTTGCGATTGAATTCCCGCGGATCCATGCTGCTCGGATCCAGATGGATCACCAAATTGCACAACAGGACGCCATCCCGCAGCGTCATGGCCAGTATACGGATCTCGGCGTCGGGCAAGGCGGCCTTGTGGTCGGGCGGTATGATTTTGCATCTTGTTAGCCAGGCGACGCATTCGCGCCATAGATCTCCATTGACAGCGGCGATACCGCCTCCAAGAGAGCTGCCAAAGCTGCTGTTATTGTTGTTTGATGCCATTTGCAATATTGAGGGCGACCGATTTTGTGGGCGCAGGCAGGCGGAGATTGGGTGGGAGTTGACCTCGGACTTGGGCGTGTGTGTGGGTGCTGCTTGTGCTGCTGCTGGGGGGCCTCGACTGCGGGAGTCGCAATGGCAGGCGCGCGCATAAATTTCGTTGCGTTAAAGAAACCAATTGGGGCTCATCCGTGGCCCATCGTTTTTCCTGGACAGATTACTGATTACACAGATGCAGTAGAGATGCTGCATAAACTACATTAAAAACACAAGACGGACAGATAGATAGATAATAACGAAACGCGTACTCTATAGACTGGCACAGATTTTCCTTTACTGCATTTTTCTTTCGAGCTCTGGCGTTAATTTTTTTGTGTTTCTCTTTTGACTGTCGCTGAAAAAACGCCCGGAGGAGTGTGGGGGGTGTTGCAAGAAATGGGGGCCCAATTTGTTTGTGTACGATCAACATGGTGCTGTTAAACGCATTTTTGGGGCGCTGTTAATCATAAATAGTGCTGTTGACGCATCGGTTGATTGATCTGGCAGCCCTATATATATAATAATATATATATTTATACCCTCTCTAGGTAACACACCTTGTAACTATGCAGAAATACCACTTAGAGCCATGACCCAGGCCACATCGAATCCATTGGTATATTTCATCAACTACATTAATCAATTTAATTTAATTTTTAAGGAACATGGGGTATTTTCGCTCTCATATAACTCTGCTATATATAAAATATATTCGACAGGATTGGTTAGTATTCACGGTATATTTTAAAATGCGAGGGCGTATTTCGGTATTTTTCTGAAGATCACACGGTATATTTGTTCGATGAGTTGTGTGAATGCGGCTCCACAAAAAATTTAAATCGTACAGCGGGTAACCATTTGCGTTATATTATATACATTATGGTATATTTTGACGTCGAAATAGAGTTGAAGGCTTATTTACGGTATATCGGTATATAATGGTATATTTGATCAATTTCATCAATCTATTAAGTTGGCATTTATGTCTTTGCCAAAAATTCATTTACAAACAAAATCTCTTTGGCTCGTATTCAGTTGATAGCATCGATGGCCGTTTCTTCGGATTCGCTCTCTGGCTCTTTTTTTGAAGTAAAGACGAAAGCAAGGATGGGAGTACAAGAGTAATTAATATTATTAGTAGTTCTGTATTATAAATAAGGGGGCTTAAGTGGGCTAAGTTAATTTTTTCATCGGTATATTTCTGAGGGTTAGACGGTCACACTTGTGCTCTTTCCTGCAACGAAAAAAAGAGTTGTAATTTTGAGTGGGCTATAAAATAGGGTATGGTCTTCATGGTATATTAGACGAAAGGGGTGGATTTTACTTTGCATGCGTTTGCATTTTCTGGATCATTTTGGCTGTTGTCCATACCCTCTTTTTCCTCCCACTATGTAGCAAATGAGTAGTTACCGCGTAGTTAGCGTGTAGTTCTTGTCGAGAATTTTGGAAAATGAAGCCAAAACGCAGCTCGTTTATCTAAAGTTTATCAATATATTAGTCCAATAAATAGTAAAAATAACCAAAATTAGAAGATATTGACTGGCAATCGAATGACTCAGCACATTAACCGAGAACAGCAGCAGCGAGCGCGCAGGCTCCAATAAAAAATGTAAATTGTGCAGCCAAACAAGCCAAACCAAGTGAAACTAAGAAAGCAATATAGAGATAAAATTTGTGCCTCTTATTTATACCGGCTCTGTGCTATTCGGCGAGCGGGCGAAACCACCATTCCAGCCACAACATCCGCTGAGCCCTGCGATGGCCTCCCTACATTCCAGTTGGCGTTTTGGCAAAAGAAGCAAATTACAATTACGCATTAAAGGTAATGTAACTAATGTTAATTAACATTAAGCATAACCCAAACATAGGCACGGGCAATGGACATAACAAGCCATAGAATTTTGATATCAATTGCGATTGCTGTGCGTTAAATCTAAACCAAGCAGGCAGGCAGGTAGCAGCAGCAGCTGTTGCTATTGTTGTCCCCTTGGTGACTTGTTGTTGGTTGGGTTGTCGGCCAGTGCTTATTCAATAAATTGTGCATACCTGCCCGAGTGCAGCCAGTCCCTCAAACATTTGTTTGCATTGATGTTAAGTCAGCAACCTTTTGTCAATAACAGAGATAGTGGTCTGTGTACAACCTCCTAGCCCCCGCACACAGCCCGTTGACCCAGTCAATGTTAATGTTAAGTCAATTGCGCATAACGGTAACCATATTTCAACAGAACAGAGCACTGAATCAAAAGAACAGCATTCTTCTTATTAGCAGACGCAGCACAGCAGTCTCTTTCTTGCACATTCTTCCAGAAATGGTTACCCTTCTGCCATTTATTTGTGTATAGTGCACATCTATGTACATGTTTGCACACATACATAGTAGTATATTTATGTATTTTTATTTTGGTTATTGTTAATGTTGTTGTTGCTGCCATTTGACCAAATTCTTTTGCTACATGTTGGCCGTCTATTAATAGAGACAGTCGCCAGCAGCAGCATAGAGAGAGAGCCATACAAACGATGACGCAGCAGCAGCAGCGGAACGCATTAAATGCTCGGTTTCTTCCATTCATCAGCACCATGCCTGCCTGCCCCCCCAACCCTCTGTATGCCCGTGTCTCTCTTTCTCTCTCTCTCTCTCTCTCTCACCAGATCCATCATACAAGTACAGTTAGCTGTAACGACAACGTAGACTAGAGCTTCAGGAGTGCCGAAGCTTTGATACCCTAGCAAATCGCCCATTTTGGCATGGATAAGCAGTCTTTTTCTGTATTTTGTTAAGAAATTGTTTTGGTTCGGCTTTCCTATGATTCTCTAAGATTAACAGAATTCCCTTACAGCAGGATTTAACATTGGGAATGCCAATGCTGATCGGGATGATAAATACTTTGGGGGCTATTGCATACTGAACGTATGACTGCATACTCTCTGAATAAAGGGTAGGCACCAGCAGCGAAATGTGCTATGACGCTGCCTCGGCTGTCATTTCACGTGCACAGCGGCGCCGCAGCCAGCGTCGCTGTCGACGTCGAAACAGAGCCGATTAGTTTCGCTGGTGGATCAATTTCACTTGTCGATCTTCTTCGCTTTCCAATGCATTTCGTGTGTGAGTGCATCTGTGCTCGTTTCACACACTAACAAAGAGAGGCGGCTATGTGTGTGCGTGTGTCTGAAAGGGAAAAGAGGGAGAGGGAGGACAACAAATTAAACTTAAAAATAATTTTAACCATTTTTCTTGTTGCAGTTTCCCAAGATCCGGAGGATTTCTATCGACTGGATCCCACAAGATCGGCGGCGGAGAATGCCTTTGACATCTACTCGATGCTCTGTCGGGAGGAGACCCGTGACACCAAGCGCCTGTTCCTGCTCAATGCTTTGGCCTCGCTCTGCCTGGCCGCCCGCAAGGGATCGCATCACAGCAATCTGCGCTTCAGCACAGAGGAGCTGCTCTTCTGGTAATACAGTCGGTTTTCCCCAAGGAAATATAATCCTGATCCCTTTTCCTCCCATAGCCTGAGTGCATCGCTGGTGCACACGTTCACCCAAGTGAGGGCGGCGGCACTGCGCACCATCCGCTATGCTTTGAGCACGCCTAAGGACATTAAGGCCTTCAATTCCCTCCAGCTGCAGCATCTGTTGTGTCGCTCTATTGACCTAATGCTGAAGAATGACGATGAGCGGGTGCAGGCCCTCAAGCTGGTGCGAAAGATGCTGGCCATTGCCCCCGAGGACATCAGTCCGGTGGTGGTGCGATGCCTCGTCTCGTTGGCGGACAGTGGCATCGAGGAGAACGACAATCTGCTGCGTGCCTGTCTGGCCACGCTGGCCGAAATTGCTGTTCTCAATCCCGCCCTGCTCATTGTCTGCGGCGGCGTCACCTCCATCACCCGCAATGTACTCGAGTGCCACAATCCCCGCATTGCGGAGAGTCTCTGCGGCGTCCTGCTCTATCTGCTCGAGTGGCCACAAACGCGAAACATGTGCGGAGTGCGTCTGGATTGCCTGGCGGCCCCGTACTGTGACTTCACCTACAGACTGGGCATCATGGACAAGAACAAGTGAGTGAAAGCGTCTCTCCAGCGTTTTCGCATCATTCAAATTATGGCATTTTTCTTGCAGAGATGCACGCGAACTTCGCTACACGAGCTGCCGGCTGGCATTGCTCTCCGTTTTGCGCAGCTGGACGGGCACCCTCGAATTCTGTGATCCAAGCAAACCCTCAGGCCTGCAAGCAATAGTCGACGCTTTATATTTAAATCAAGTTGAAGTCAGAGTGAGTGTTCTTTTCCTTCTGCTGTTGGTGCCTCTCTCATGTTGAAATCTCCTCCTCCCATACACAGAAAGCAATATTGGATTTGCTGTACGAGCTGCTGTCGCTCCCGCAACCCGCCTGGACGGATGACTATGCTGTGGCTCTGCAGGCAGTGGATCCCTCGGACTTTCAGGACTCGTGGCTGCTAAGCAATGGCTTCGTTTCCGCCGAGGGACGTTCGATTCTGCCCAGTCTGGCTGCCCGGGCCCCGAATGTTGTCGAACAGCATTTGGCCCTGCTGCTGTACTGCTTCCTGGAGACGGGTCTGCTGAATGCCCTCGTAGAGGTGGCCGTTGCCAGCGATCAGTTCATTTCGGTGCGGGCCACCGTCCTCATTGGTAAGATCCTGCAGCTGATGCACACACACCTGCCGCCGGACATTTGTTGCACCAGCCCAGCCCTGCCCACGCTCATTGGCCATGCCACGCAGGGGAATCAACAGGCCAATGCCTCGGTGGCTGCGCTTCAGAACTACCAGAAGATGCTGCGCCAGAGGCCGGCATCGTGCAGTCTATTTCTAGACAGTATTATCCAAGGAGGAGCCCTCATTCAGACGCGACTCTTTCGACGCCACCTCAACGTGCAGGAGCAGCAGGGCCCCGCCCTGCAGCTACAGGATACGGCTGCGGCGGCGGGCTCCTCAGTGCCGCTATCGGGACAGTTTCATGCCACCTTGGATCGTCAGCGTCTCGATTCGGTATCCTCCAGCGATGAGTCACAATCGCAATCCTCCTCGAATTCCTTACGTTCCAGCTTTCGATTGAAACGGAAATTCATGCCGCAGGCTCTGTTTGATAATTTTCGAGCCCTAAATCGCCTGCTCACCGGCTCCCGCGTTCTAACCCAAACGGATGCGAATCTATGGGATTGGGATGTCATTACCACGATCCTCAGGGTAAATGAATAATTCGATTAATCTAATGATTTTTACACATTTAACAATCATTTTTTTGCTCTCTTTTCCAGTCAAATTGTACACGAAAGCTCGACTTTACGCTGGGAAAATTCCTGAAACGATTGGTGGACTTTTACAAGCCAAGCAATAATCGATTTTCGCATCAGGATCTGGTGCCAGGACACAGCATGCCAGCGTTTGTCAGTGCCGGGCTGGATTTGATAGATGTCCTGGTAGGCAGCAGACAGGTGAGTGTCCTCCCCTCAGCCCCCTGCCCCTCCTATTTGTGCGCTCCCACTATTTATGAGCTCTCTCTTTTATTTTTGGCAGCTGGAATGCATGCGTTATATCACGGACTACTTTTCGGACATTAGCCAGCATCTGCTGGCTGTGACCACATCGAATCGGGCACACGACTGTCTGTTTAGTCCCCAGCACATGAACAATACCATGTGCCAGCAGTATTTCCTTTACATTGGACGCATGTGCCGCACACGGAAGGGCATTGAAGTACTCAAGAATACAACTGTCTTTGAATAGTGAGTATATATGTACTTTGGAAGAAAATTCTCCACCAGGCAGCAGGTTAGGTTAGCTTAAAGCGTCGTAGCCAAAGGGCGTCGAGCGGCGTGATCACTAGGGATGCAGTAATCTGTCCTCATTGGTTCATTGGCGGGAGTTTCGTCGAGCGTATAATTTGTTTTCTGTCATTCTGCTGCCATCTTAGTAGCTGTATAAGAATAGAGTTTAGTAGTCTCTGCTGTTCCATCGTCCTTTATCGTTTCTTGTTGCTATCTGCAGTAAATACTCATTCTCTGGTATCCTTTGCTTTTCCAGCCTGATCACTTTGGTGCGTGTCACGGATCATGTGTGCTACGTGAAGCTGATTGTCTCTGGCCTCAATTACAGCTTCGAGAAGCTCCCCAGGCAGGTGCTGGAGAAGGCGCTGACCTCTGCCAAGACGCGCAGCGGGCGTTTGTATGCCACACAGTTTATGGCCGTACTACTGCGTGCCCGCCTGCCGCACTTTGAGGTGTGGGGCATACCACTGATCATACTCCAAACGAAGGATGCCGACCGCAGTGTGGTGCTGGCAGCCATGGAGGTGCTGGAGGAGGCCTGCCATGACAAGTACTATTTAGAGGAAATTGTCAGCCTGTGGCCGAATCTGACGCTGCGCGGGGACGTGGGTCGCCTGCTGATGTCCCGCTATTACTCGCTGTCGCGCGGCCTCAACAGCAGCCTGGCCCGCATCGAGGATGAGATCAAGTACTGGCGGAATGGCTACAACAAGCGATACGTGCTGCTCGTCGAGGCCGACACCCACTCCAGCCTCACGCTGCACATACGCAACGAGGATGGCTACTATTCGCGACGCAACTGTAACCAGCGGCCCCAGACAGTGCCCCCGAACATTGCCCCCCATCTGTACGGACAGATGGTGCAGACCAGCCAGGGCATGACGGCGCTGAGTAAATTCGGGGATCTTCCCCAGCTGCTGGACCTCCTGACACGGGCCAAATGCACAGACGATGCCGAATGTCTGGAACTGAAAGCGGCCGTCTGGGCTCTGTCCCATGCCTCCACCCATGCGAATGGAATTGAATATTTCGTGGAACAGAATGCCAGGTAAGGCGAATCTCTGTCTCCGTCTCTGCCCCCTGATTTGTGGCTAAAGCTCCTCGTAAAAGATGTCATAAAACGCTGGCAAATGAATATTCCACGAGCTATCGAAAATTAAACATGTTCTTATCGGTTTTCCTATCGTTTTCGATGGTCTTACGCTCCCATTGGTCCACTGCGTGTCTCTATTTGGCGAAGGATCTCCCAATTCTAAACCATTCGTTCATTTTACAGGCTCTATGAGAAGCTGATTGTTTTGGTGACCAAATGCGAGGTATATTCGGTGAGGGCCACCTGTTTCAGTGCCCTGGGCCTCATAGCAGGCACCCAAGCGGGCGCTAATATACTCTTTAAGCTGAGTAAGTATTGGAGCTTCTTTGGAAGTAGATTGTATCCGCGGTCTTTCATTGATTCATTGATTCTTTTGCAGATTGGCTGAGCGTGCGGCATGATAGGAACACCATGTGGCCTGTGCATCAGCCAGAGGATTGGATGTCCAATCAGTACACACCGGTGCGGCATTACTACGAGGATGCGCCGCCGTATAACATTACCGTGCTGGAGGATCAGATCGATGGATCTTATTACACGGGCTCCTACTACTGGAATCTGCTCATCGATCAGACAGAGCCCATGGGCGTCGGGACGGGAACGGGGACTGCTGTTGGAGGAGGAATTCAGGATCCAAATTCAACGGCCACGACCACCACAATGGATGATGGTCATGCTTTGGCCCTGCATGTGAATCGAACTCTGTCTGGGCCGGTGGCAGCCGCCAAATCGAAAACCCTGCCGGAGGGCAGCAACCTGCGTCAGGGTAAGCATCAGCGCTCGCTCTCCGAATCGAAGACTACAGATGTGATTAGCCTGCTGGGCGGCGGCGGCACTGGCGGGGGTCTCTATCCCATGCCCTACCAGCATCAGCACCAGCACCAGCAGCAGCAGCACCGCATACGGTACAACTCCTGCACAGACTCAAACACCTCGGGCGTGAGCAGCTGCGAATCGGTTACGGGACGAACGGCCGCTGCTGCAGCCGCTGCGGCGGCAAATATGAGCGAATTGCAGCAATTCCCGCTGAGTCCCATACCGAGCATGTCCAATCTGCTGGAGAGCGAAGAGCTTATACGGCTCCATTCGATAGCTACCAGCCATAGCGGGACGGCGAACACCACACTCAGTCCGATGGCCGTGAAGGGGTACGCCCAGCTAAGGGTTCTGCGCGCCCACAGCCGCCCAGTCCTGGAGTCGGCAGCGGAATTGCATGACTTTATACACAAGCAGGACTGGAGTTATCCAAAGCCCAGGTTGAGCAAGGTGCGACGACGCCTTTCTACAGGGGAACTGAACGTCCTGCTGCCCACGCTGAATGCTCCTAAATTTCTGCCGCAGAATGATATGCAGGGGCCGTGCTATGCAGGCATTTGTCTGCCCAAAAATGTGCTGGATCTGTTTCCCACGCGCAATCTCAGTCGAACGTATGTGTCGCGTGACATACAGGACCAGGACCTCATGGGCATCAATCTGTTGCTGAGCCAGCGGCTTCAGTTCCTCAACGATTCGCTGAACAACGAGGGCGGCGACGAGTCCTCGGTCATATCGTCGCTCTCGGACGTATCCTCGGCGAGCCGCCGCCAACCCCGTCAGTGGCAGCAGGGCGCCAAGCATGCGCGCAGCCAGTGCCTCCATTGTGCCCGGTCTCCGCGTCAGCAGCGTCAGGATAGTGTTGGCAGCCAGAGCAACGGTGCAGGTGGAGGTGGTGGTGCGACCCTAGCACCCTGTGAGCTGTACAGCAGTGCAGCAGCGGCCCTGGTGGCGGCTGGCATCCAAGCCGGCCCAGTTCTGGCCAAAAAGAGCAGCGGCAGCGGTGGCTCCGGCTCTGGCAGAGTGCCGCTGGGCACGGACATAAGCTTCCATTCGCCGGAGAGCATGCTGAGCGAGGATAGCCTGCCGGACAGGCTGACGGCCTCCATTCTATATAACGTACAGCGTCTGGCCAATCCGGTCAGTGCCAAACAATCGAAGATGGCCCTGCTGGAGCTCAAGCAGAAGCATCCGCATGCCTTTCAGGTAAGACTTTGGATAAACACCTACAACTTGTGAAACACATAAAACTCTTTCTTTTGATATATTTCAGGACATTTGCCTGTATTCAGAGTCCTGCAAGACGCTGGGCAGAAGCAGCTATCGGATGAGTGCCCGCCGTTTCCTGCAGGAGCTCTTTCTGGACCTCAACTTTGATGCCTTCTATGTGGAGCCGCAGCTGATAATTGGCACCCGCAAAATGCCCGCCGAGGAGAAGGCAGAGCCCACGCCACCATCGGCCATGCTGTTAGCCCACAAGACGCAAATGAAGCCCAAGCCGGCCGCCCAGCTGGCCAGCGTATACGAGACGAGCTGGGAGAATCTGCTGATGGATCAGTCGCCGCGTATGGTGGTCACCAAGTCTCCCAGTGCCAATGCCCAGCAGGCGTCCCAACAGCAGATGATGCCCCACAACCAGCTGCACATCGAGGACGACACTGAAGACACCCTGGAGGATAGCGAAGACGAAGAGGAGGGAGACGAGAACGAAGACGATGATCCTGGGGAGGATGTCTGCGATGGTAGTGGCGCTGGGACCCAAGCCAGCTCCGTGACGACCGCTCACACAGCCCTGCCCTGCCATGGGAACAGCAATCGAAGTAGTATCTGCACGATCAGCCAGCAGCCGGTACCGCAGCCGTCTGCAGTCCCTGGAGGTGGGGGTACAGGTACGGCTGGAACGAATCTAAAGAACGATAATCGCCAGTATACCCGCGGTCGCTTCTACACGCTGGAGCTGGACCTCAGCTGCACCAAGAACAAGTTTCCGATCAAGGATCGCAGCCAGACAACGCCCCCCAAGACTTCGCCAACGCCAGTGCCCCAGCTGAAGCGTCAGATGAGTGCAGATGCAGATGCCGATGCGGATGCCGATACGGATGCTGGCGTTGTGTCGTCCATTTCGGTGGCCCCCGGGTCCACCTCCTCCACGCTGGACTACTCCACGGTGACCAAGAGCCTGGCGGCATCCATGACAAAGCCCGTGGGCAGCCTGTACTGCGAGAAGCGGCTGCAGAGCTCCAAATCGGAGGCGGTGCTTGACGCCAGACCTGGAGCTGGACCTGCATCCGGAACGGGTGGGGGGGAGTCGGCGGTAGGCGGCAGCAGCAGGAATGGCAGCGTCAAATGGACATTGAAGCGGGTCACATCCTAGAGAGAGACAGCAGCCAGAATAAGAGACTCAAACGCAATCCCAGAAGACGCAATCCGGATGTTTGTAATATATCAAATCAAAGAGGAAATTGTAGGCATAGGAATAGGCAATAAGTAATAAGCATAAAGTATAGGGCACACTCCTAACGTAGCATCGTAAGTTATATTTTCTTGTAGTTTTAGTTACTTTCATAATTCAGATTTACAATCTACGATTTCCGATTACTACTTTTGCGTATAGGGTATGATATTTCTAATGAAATTCTATTCGACCTTAAGCAAATACACAGATAGACAGACACGGACAAAATCCCAAAAAATACCGTATAATTTTCTTAACAACAAACATTATATATAGTACATACGTAGGAATCACATAAAAAAAAAATGCAGATTGCTGAATGATGAAGATGAATACCTTAAAGCAACCGCAAAAACAAAACAAAAATACCAACCACAAACCACCGCAATTTAATTAATCAATTGTACTTAAAAAAACAAAACAAAAACAGGAGAGAACAAATATACAGAAAAGGAGGAAAGTCGAGCGCGGAGTGGATCGATATCGATCCGATCGCAGACCATAAACCAGAGGAACGCTTAAACCCCAAGAGAAACTATCATACAACAAAACGAACACGTGAATCGTTCACAAAACAATTAAAACCAAATTAAAAAATGATTACATTTAAAAAAAAAAAATACAAAAGCAATTGGTTTTTACACTCTTAATATGATGTATTTATATCGATGGATCTAGATCAGCGGTCGGCACGCACACATTCACATATCATGCAGTGCGTTTGTGTGCGAAGACAGCAAGCAAAATGGAACAAAAAGTGTTACTGTATTGGTGCCGATGCACAGGAGAAAGCTTTCAAAGAGAATGCCCGAGGATAGTGGAGTAGATAAACAACATGCATGCCGTGTGCTCGACTAGAGTTTCGCTATTAACGGTTTTTTTTGTTAGATTGCTAATTCAAACAGCCTGCCCCACGCCGATCTAGACGGATAAAGGAGCTTAGATAGACCGGTAGATAGATATAAAATACATAGATTGGTTATCTAGAATTTGGAGTGGATGGGATTCGGCCTCAGAGACGAACGTGACTGACAGAATGGGAAATTAGGTAGATTTGGCCCTTTTGAGGCTAGAATATAAAATAAATAGTAAGTATAGATACTCTTAAACATATACCTGCGTATATTGGAAAATATATCGGATGTTTAACTTGGATAATATCAAAGGTAATAATTATAGAACACATATCGCACCTCTCGCTCAACCAACGACCAACAACCAACCAAGTGTACGAGTACATACATTAAAATTAATTGACAAAAAATTTAATATACTTACGCATACCCAAAGGATACCCATAGAAACTGCTAGTTTTGTAATTGAATCGAGTTTCTGTTGTTGGAATGTTGATTTATTTAATGTGGTTTTTTATTTTGATTGAAATTAGCGAAGCTTTTGGTATTTGTATTTGGAGGAGAGGAGTCGGGCATGCAATGAAAGGAAATTCTTGAAATTCTATTATATATGCTATATGGTATATCAAATATGTATACATACATATATATATACTCGTATGGCCCATGTCCTGCGATTGATTTGGGATGCGTGAAGACGACTCTGTAGGAATTTCATAGTAAGCTCTATTTGTTCTCTATAGGTGTATATACCTAGTATAGTATGTTGTATATAGTATGTTATGGTATATACCAAAGGTTAGGTATATGTAGAATGTGCGAGTATATAGTGTGTGCATGGGTTTATTTGAGTTTGAGTTTGAAGAGAGGAACCATTATCGTTTAATTTGTCTTCTGATAAAGCTACCAATAATTGAGCAATAATCTCACGCCTCCTGCGAGATCCGGTTATACATATGTGAGTGTGTGTGTGTGTACAATATGTATATATATATATCATCTAAATAGCTATATCCATATATGGTACGTGTTTGTATACTAGATAAGTACAATTTATATGTATCAAAAAATGCAATCAACAATATCAGTCCGTTGCCACATTGGGCAACAACAAGGTGCCTTTTCCCACTGCCCTCCAATCCTTGAACTTCGAAGGTAGGGACCCTACTCCTACTCCTATGCCCAGGCAAAATTAATGCCCGTCAGTTGATAAAACTTATTGTTAAATGGCCTGTAGAATTCGCGCAGCCGCTCGATGGCACTAGGATCGATATGCGGATGATTGCGCCCCTTTGTCTTGCCCAGGCAGTGGGGCGTGGATCGTGCCTCGGACTTGAACAAGCACGGAAAACCCTTGGTGGCATTGAAGTAAAAATGCTTCTCGGTGACCACACGCTTCAAACCGAGAAAGTCCTGAACGCGTCCGATCTCGTAGGCGGGATCCATAATCAGACGCTCGCCGCTGATGAAGAGCAGCTGGGAGAGCGGAAAGTAAAGGAGCCAACGCTCCAGGTAGCGCGAGTACACTCCGATTTTCACGGGCCCCCAAGTGGTGTCCACCACCGAGTAGCTGCCATTGACAAAGGCCAGTTGCTCGAACCGCTTCATGTCCGCCTTCTTGCTGGCCGCCTGGGTATAGTCCGAAATGGCGCGCGTCACCGGATCCCGCACCACAATCAGCAACCTTTTGGCAGAGAGGCGGGGAGGATTAGAGAGCGCCATAGATGGCAGGAGCCAGAGAACTCACTTGGTGGCCGTGTTCATGTGGTAGACCCGCTGGGGCACCTCCTTCGTCACAAAATAGCTCGGCGTCTTCTCCATGGTGATCTGTCCCTCGATGGTGTACGGCATGTGGTGGCGGTACCAGCGCAACCCACGCTGATAGTGTCGATCGAAGAAATGCACTTCGGAGCCGGCAGCCCGCACATCCGGATGCAGTCGAATGAACTCCAGGAGGGCGCGCGTTCCGCTCTTCTTCACGCCAATGATGAGCGTGTCGGGCAGGTGTCGTGACGGACGCAGACCTGGCTGCCGCAGCAACTGATACTTGGGCGAGCCATCCGAGCTGTTCGCGATCCCCACAGCGGCTGGGACACTGCTGATGCTCCTGTTAGTGGTGTTGCTGCTGTTGTTCGATGGATTAGAAGCGGGTGTGGCAGAATCGTTGCTGCTGCTGCTGTTGCTGCTGCTTTCGTTGCGGGGGGTAGATGTCAGTGACAGCAGGTTGCGTAAGTTGCTCTGTGGGTGGGCGGGCAATGGCAGAAAAGGATATATGAGAAGAGGGGGGGACTCTCACCTGCTGGAGGCTGCGGCTGATGCTGGCCAGCAGGCAGGCATTGAAACTGTATGAGATGTACAACAGCGTAACGCAAAGTACCAAAGCAATGGCCAGGCTGCGGCTGCTCAGGCTCAGGCTGGTGCCCCAAATGCTCATCACAAACATCGCACCGGCCCGTCCCGTCTATAGTGGTTCTCTACCGCAGTCCGCAGTCTGCAGCTACCGTTCCATGGCCAGCGGGCGCCCAGCCAGGAGGGAGCCCTGTCTACAGCATCTCTCCTACCGATTTGCAGTGTCAGCGGGCGGCGGATGGCGGGGCAGGCAGTGATTATGTTCTCTCAGCGTCTCAGTTGCAAGTGCAGTGTGCCTGCCGCTCGCTTTGTCGGTTTGTTGTTGTCGTCGGCAGCAAAGTTCCGGAAGTGAAAGCCGGGGATAAGGCCGGGCCAAGACATTGGGGTGCTAGTCCCAAGGATAAGCAGAGCGTCGGCCAGCCGCAATGTAGGGCAGGACGGGTGGGCGGTCGTGCTCGGTCCCCGGGTAGAGAGCACAAGCGCAGAAACATAAACGAGGAGCAAAAGCTCACAGAGAGTGAGAGAGCAAGAAAGCGCTCTGAAATTGCGCCTTTGTCGCGCTCTGTAATAAAGCTTTTTGTGTTTACTCTTTTTAGTAGCTTTAATTTACAATTAAAAAATTATTATGGGATATATAAAATAAAGAAATATTAAAATAACAGCTCCATGAAGCCAGTTAGAAATATCTATAGGTTCCTTTAAATCTGCCATAGTCACACTCTGCAATAAAACGAGAGTAAAGAAAGGGATGATGGATGATGCGTTCGCATTGAGATACATATGTATGTATCAGAAATCAGTATGCCCCTCATGCCATCACAAAGATACGTATATCCATCTTTGATACTTGGTGCCGCCCGAGTGTGAAGAAAGCTACAAATACTCCGATTTATTGGACAATATGACCGTACAATTTCTTATACTTTATCCACCCTTCGAACGGAATGATCTTACGTACAACTTTTACATTGTAAACCAATAAACATACGGGCATTTTCAATAAAAATGTCCACCCTGCCAAAAAAAACAATACCTTTGACCTTCTACCGTGCTCTCACGACCTATCTCTCTCCCGCTGACTTGCACTCTGCTCCAAAGTAAACAAACTATTAACACCCACACTACACTTCTCCCTTGTACATATGTATATACATATGTATGTACATATGTGTATATACAATTCGATAGAAGAGAATCAATTTTCCAAAGCTTTATCGGCAGGCCTAATTGCCCGAATTCCCTATCAATATTAGCCATGCCAGATTAGTTTTAAGTCCTATCAGGTGAATGACTATCCTATACATTACACATACATATGCTTATATATGTACTTAAACAAATAAAGGATTTGTAGTAAGACCAACCGATTGCAAACCCGACACCTACCTCCATGCACCTTAAATTAAAGCCACACTTTTCCAACACTGCCTAGCACCGTTATGTGGTTGATTAAAAAGAAGCTGATCTGACTTAAATTTTATCCTTGGCTGTGCATTGTTGTACAAGAGTTGTGTTGTACATATGCAGGATTCACTGTATGTACATATGAATGAATAGCCGGAAATTGCTACTCACCATGCATAAAATGTTTGGCAAAGCGTACGGCCAAACTGAATGGACTATACCTACATATGTACATTATTTAGCGGCTTATCTGTTTATCTGGCCAAAAGGCTACTACTCCAATGCGGCATTAGTCACTGTATACTATAGTACGTACATAGGGTACGGTACACATATCAGACTGGCTGCACGCTCGACCAATTGGCTTATCTTATCATCGTCGTCGTCGTCGTCGCAGTTCACTTTGTAGCCTCTTTGGACTTGCGGAGTCTATTGGCCATATTTGTAAGCAACTCTCCAAACCAGACCAAAATGCTTTAAGCTCCTCTATCGCCTGGCTACTTTGGATTGGATTGGATTGTTCGTCAAACATGACGAACGTTTGGGGAAAACTGCTGCTCAAGTTCTTCAAATACGCGCCAAGCTGTGTTGGTGAGTCCCTCCGTCACAGGGAGGGAGGTACATAAATAGATCTGCCATCAAAGATTATAAGAAACTTGTTCCTTTCAGTTTGTTTGAGCTTCCTGCCGTGTGGCCTAATTTTCGGCTATACGATCTGCTCACTGGTCGCCGAGCGCAACCTGCAAACGGGCCTCATCTACTATGGACCCCTGATCTTGGGCGCCTGCTGGGCCCTGGTTACGGCCCTCACCATGCTAACCATCAAGTATGTGAAGAAATGCATTGTCTACTGGCAGGCGTGGCTGCTGCTGGCCGCAGGCGTTTTAAATCTGGTGGCTAGCTGCTTCTACTTTGCGGATGGCTTTGGTAAGTGAAATCCGAATGCTATCCTCATAAAAAATGTCTCTCGAAATGCCCAATGCAGACCATGTGGGCGCCTACATCTCGTACTTGGCGCACAGTATGACCTTCATAGCCGGCTACAGCTTCTTGCACACCATCAGCTCGAAGAGCAGCCGCTCCCTCATGATGTCCGCCTCTTGCAGTTGCTATCTGGTGGGCATTGCCACGGCCGTGAGCCTGATTGGATCAGCCTACAGCCGAAACCTAAAGGCGTTTGCAGGACAGACGGCCACCACGGAGCAGCTGATCGATGGCATTTATGTGAATTTTGCTGGAACATATCTGAGCATTGCCGCTGCAACGCTGGCCATACTGGTGGGGATCAAGGTGCTGCATTTTGTAGGCACCGTGGATCTGGTGAACAGCATGGACAATGATTTGAGGATAGCCAACGGGAATGGCAGCATCTTTGAGCCGCGCTCGGAGGTGATCAAGCGGCTGCAGTTCTTCTATGTGACCAAGAACCAGCAGTGGAACGTAATGCTGCTGCTGCTCTTCACCGAGGCCATACAGTTTGCCCTGTTTGTGTATTTCATCTACTGGTTTGCCCTGAATCCGGCCATTAGGTTGACCCAGCTGGCCGACATCGATGCCATGTTCTGGGTGATTTTTGGCGGCAGTTGCCTGACCCTCATCTGTCTGTTCTTCGTTTCGGTGAAGGTAAACTTTGTGGCCTCCCAAATGACGCTGGTTTTCTTCACGCTCTTGGCCATGATCATCTGCAGTTCCACAGATTCGAGATGGTCCCTCTGGGTGCTGCTCGTCCTGTTTGGGATGTCCTACTCCAGTCTACAGATCGCCCTGCTGGAGGTCACCAATCTGCGGTTTACAGAGTGCATCATCTGCATCTCGTATATCCTTAAATTGATCTGCACCAGCATCGTGTACTATTATTTTGTGGCCGATACAAAGAACTCGTACTTCTATGCCACCGACAAGAGCACTCTGATGGCCCAGGGATTTGTTTTTATGATCATCAGCTCCCTGCTGGCCCTAGTTGTGGGCATGAAGGTGCCACGCACACATCGCACCAAGCTGATGGATATCCAATATGAGGTGTATGGCATCATATTCATGAAACACCAAATCGAACAGTTGAACGTAAAATGGCTGAACGATGGCACCATTCCTACGATCAGTCAGTGATCATCATTCATACTAGAGCCCTGCATGAATCCAAGGTATTCATAAAATCACAGCTATACTGATTTAATGATCATTACGGCCTTTGATTATTACGAATCCTTTCTTCACTCAGATTCGGATCACTCCAATTCAATAAAAACTTGTTCTCTCTACCAGAAAATCAAAGGAAGAGTGAGCGAGAGAAAACCCAGAAATTTTCGGATCTGACACAGTAAAAATGACGATACCTGTTCGTTCAGTCCGTTTTGGGCGGGCGTTTTGATGGATTGAGAAAGCTGAGACGACGCTTCTAACTGACCGAACGAATTCCATCGAATCGATTCGGTTGCCTGTTCATGCAGGGCTCTAGTTCATACATCCATTTTGTATACTTAAATACTCAGTATTTAAAAAAAAAAGAATGTAAAAAACTAACCAATATTTCGTACTTTCTGAGGCAAACAGCAAGGAGACATTTAAGTGGATCTTAAACCATTGCTGTTGGTTATTCGTTTCAAGTGCTGTTTACATTATATTATATTATATTACTACCTAGAACTAGCGTTTAATGGAGATAATCTGTACGGCAGCGGTGTGATCGCGACAAAAATGACTCGCGCAGGCCGAGACATTCGCACAGGGTGTCACCTTGTACTCGTGAACGGCTGTAAAATTAAGGTACATATTAGCTATGGGATTTTTGGAGGGGCTAAAAACTCACTCAGCTGCTCCATGAACTTGTGCAGCGTGTCCACATTGCGCACTGTGCTGGCGAGCAGCATTTCCAGGCAATTGCCACGACTCGTATACAGATGATCGAGGGCACCGATAAGAGCATCGAACTGGGAGTCGTCGTAGATGACATCCGCTGCGAGTAGGAGGTCCGTTTTGGCATACTGGTGCCAGGGGAAATCTTTTACCTCGTCCCAGCGCAGCTGCTCACACTGGGGTTTGGCTTCCTTGGGCGCCGTTGGGAAGTTCAATGTCACATTCTCACGCATCAGTTGCACACAGGAGGCGCTACCATCGGTGAGTAGGATTTGGCCAGCATCTAGGCCCAGGGCTGGTAATTTGAGGAGAATCCCTATCAGACCCGTGCCAGCGCCGAGCTCCACGATATTCTTGCCCTTCACCACATCGCTGTGCTGTAGGAGATAGTCGGCCAGGGCCAGGGCAGCCTCCCAAGTGCAGAGGCCGGTGGTACCTTCGTTTACAAAGCTAATCGACTCGCGCAGCGTAATGTGGGCGTCTGGCTGCAGTAGTAGGTAGTGCTTGTAGGCGTAGTCTTTGCCATGATTGTTGTCTTTCTGTATACAGAGGCTGCTGAATAGGTCGTCGTGAAGCTCTTCGTGATCCTTAAGCAGCTGCATCAGACGTTTAATGAATGCCTCTTGGTAGCTGGTTCGCACTGGATAGCGCTCATTGAGCTGATGGCCGCAGGTGGCTGCAATGAGTGCCTTTTGCTCATCCCACTCCATTGGTAGTTTCACCGACTGCGAGTTTACAAATTGTTACAAAGTTGTTTACAAAAGTTAAAGATGCAACAGGTGGACAGGTGCAGTCACAGCCAAATACATACCGACCACGACATTTTATTGACTGGATAACAGCACAGGAATTGCTGCTGCATTTTGCTGAACCTGTCAGTCATTTTGGATCTCTTCTGCGTATCTTCTAAATTTCAAAAAGGTAAATACTCAATTTAAGACAACGTGAAACCGGCTGGATTTGCTGTTGTGCTATCGATGTCGTGATGACTTATCGATGCTTAGCCTAACATCGGATGAGTTTTGATTTAAGCCTACTTAAGTACAAGAATTCCCAAATCAAAGTTAAGCTAAGTTAAGATAGTCCATGAAAAAAGTGAATTCTTGTAAAATCTTTTATATATTAGTGGAAATAATAATAATAACTGAATTCAATCACTAACCATACAGTATATAGATGTGCCAGTTCATACAACGAAAGTGTCACACACCGACTTGCGCTATCCGTACCCCAGAGTGACGTCATCATGAGAGATAGAGCGCAGAGAGAACATCTTTGCATGTGTTAGTACACACGCAATATGTTTCGACAAAAATATGTGATTGTATGTTCTTTCAGATTTTTTGAACTCTCTCAGGTCTGATCTGTTTTGCCACCAGCATGTTTTAGTGTATGGGTGCACATGCATTCTCACGTACTTTGCGTGTGTGTGTTTACTATTGCTGGCCGCTAGAACTGAAATTTGAGTTTGGTTCTTGTTTCGGGTCTTTTGATGGACTGACCTACCGCCACAAAATAAATGAAGAATGGGCAGGGGGTGGGGGTATGGTACACTAGGGCGCGGGAAACAAAATAAAAGCTGTTATTTGTTTGATTTATACCACAAAATTACACATTTATTTCCTTATTTTAAACAGGTTGATTATAAATTATAAAAATTATGCAAACGCCGTCGGTTCTCGACGTTTTGTTTATATCAAAGACTATACAATACCAAAGACTATACAATACCAAGATGTTGCATGAGCGACCAAAAAGCTGTTCTATGGCGGGTCCTAACATTAGAACCCAAAAGGCACGAGGGAGCGCGCGGGGTTTCAATTCCCTTTTCGCCTGTACTTCGTCTCTACCGCGACCCCGCTGCCCATCGGTTTCGTCTGTTTGGCAATTCTATACTCTCGAGCCTCAGCACCGTCGAAGCGGTGGTCGCGGATCGCCGATGTCTTTGGAGCGGCACAGTGGGAAAATTCTATTGGAAAATTCTCTATTAGAATTTATCTAAAGCACTCATACAATTTTTTTACTATTTCGGCTGAGTCCCACTGTGCCGCGCCAAAGACATCAGCGACCACGCTGCCCTACGGTTTCGGCACGCAGACGATTCATATTTTGTTTTTGTATTCTTTCTCTCGAGACACACCGACTCGACGCTGACCGGGCAGCAGTAATTTTGAAAACCCTCATGCAATATACGAATGTAATAAACTTTAATATTTATGTGCATATGTATGTACATAAGATATTTTATAATTGAATTAGAAAATTTATGGGTATTGTCCATAAGAGTATTCAAGGTGCGACCCGCATCAAAATTTGTACTTTGCAGATTCCCGTCGGAAAGCGCGCGATTGACAATTGATTTGAAATATATGTAAAACCAATTCCATTTATATTTATGCATATTTATTTAAGTATATATATATATGTATTTTCTTATATTGTATATTTAGATACATCATTGTTTTAGTTATAATAAACAAAAACGTCGAGAACCGACGGCGTTTGCATAATTTGTATAATTTATAATCAACCTGCTTAAAATAAGGAAATAAATGTGCAATTATATTATTGTAATATTTTATATTTTGTGGTATAAATCAAACAAATAACAGCTTTTATTTTGTTTCCCGCGCCCTAGTGTACCATACCCCCACCCCCTGCCCATTCTTCATTTATTTTGTGGCGGTAGGTCAGTCCATCAAAAGACCCGAAACAAGAACCAAACTCAAATTTCAGTTCTAGCGGCCAGCAATAGTAAACACACACACGCAAAGTACGTGAGAATGCATGTGCACCCATACACTAAAACATGCTGGTGGCAAAACAGATCAGACCTGAGAGAGTTCAAAAAATCTGAAAGAACATACAATCACATATTTTTGTCGAAACATATTGCGTGTGTACTAACACATGCAAAGATGTTCTCTCTGCGCTCTATCTCTCATGATGACGTCACTCTGGGGTACGGATAGCGCAAGTCGGTGTGTGACACTTTCGTTGTATGAACTGGCACATCTATATACTGTATGGTTAGTGATTCAATTTTAATGCCGCCTCTGCCAACGTTGCCAGATTTTGGTTGACTACTATCGATAGTATGTTAATACGAAATTTAAACTCCGTGGCAGCACGCACCCATGTTGTCAGCTGTGAGTGAGCAACGCCAACGCAAATTGATAGTTTTGCGGAAAAAAGCAGGAAGCACATATAACTAGGCATGTCCGACGACGAAGCCGGCGTGCATCGACTGGAAGGCACTGCTGGTCAGGAGATACGTGGCGGGCTGGTACTGAAGAAGCCCAGAGATGGAGCTGACTCAACTGGCAGCTTCAAAGTCCCCCAAGGCTCGCTGCTGGGCCTGGACAAGCTGGCCGCCAAGCGACGTGCCGAAAAGGAGCGCGGCGACCGCCTGATCTCCTTCAAGGATAGCGAATACGACGACACTGGCTCCAGTACGCCCACTGGCTCGACGCCCGGAATCAGTGAGTTTGCCTTCAAGAAGCCGGACACCAAGAGCTTCGAGAAGTTGAGCCGGCAGCTGCGCGAACATAAGGATGACACGCCCTCGCACACGGGCGGTGTGTCGGAGAAGGCCCGCGAGCGGCTGCGGGAGCACATTCAACGCGACAAGGCGAGGGGCAGGCCGGCAAATGCATCAACGGCCTCATCCTCGTCCGAGGGTCGAGAGCGGGAAAGGAGGAGAGAGCGAGGAGACCACGATCGACGGCGCCATCGTGACAGAGATCGCGACAGAGACCGAGACCGGGACAGAGATAGAGATCGGCATCGCAGTCGCGATCGTGATCGCTCCATGTCCGAGCGGAGTGTCCACACGCCCAGGGAGCCTGGGACCCCAGGTGGCGGTGGGGTATTGAACAGTTCCTGGGACGATGACGACGGCGAGGGCGGCGGCGGTAGCGGGCACCGTAATTCGGATTGGGATTTGCCAACACCACGTCGCCATGGCGGAGGTGGCGGCGGCGATTGGTCGGTGCGGAGTGGCAGCAGCAACCGCAGTCGCAGAAATAATCGACAGGATGACTCGGCCCGCCCTACGCCAGCGCATCGCTACAATCAGTGGGCCAATGATCGGAAGCGCACCGGTGCCACACCCTGGTCCGATGATCCGGAGTCGCGCGACCACTGGGAGGAGGAGCAACGTCGCCTGGACCGCGAGTGGTATAACATTGACGAGGGCTACGACGACGAGAACAACCCCTTCGTGGGGCCCAACTCCGAGTACTTTCGGAAGCGCGAGGAGCAGCTGGAACAGAAGCGAACGAAACGCCTCAGCGCCCAGCAGCGGCAGAACAATCGGGACAATGAGCTGTGGGAGAGGAATCGAATGCTCACTTCCGGTGTGGTTACCAGCATCCATGTGAACGATGACTTTGACGAGGAGGCCCTGGAGCGGGTCCATTTGCTGGTGCATCACATAATTCCACCCTTTCTCGACGGCCGTATTGTGTTCACCAAGCAGCCGGAGCCGGTGGTGCCCGTCAAGGATCCCACCTCGGACATGGCGTTGCTCGCGCGCAAGGGCAGCGCTCTGGTGCGCACGTATCGGGAGCAGAAGGAGCGCCGCAAAGCTCAGAAAAAACACTGGGAGCTGGGCGGCACAAAGCTGGGAAACATTATGGGCGTGCAGCGGCCCCAGGACGATGAAGATTCACGCTACGACAAGGACAATGACACGGCCGATTATCGTAAGGATCAGAAGTTTGCCGACCATATGCGCGATCAGGACTCGGGCGGTAAAAGTGACTTCTCCCGCAAGAAAACCATCTCCGAGCAGCGCCGCTTTCTGCCCGTCTTTGCCTCACGCCAGGAGCTGCTCAATGTCATCCGGGAGAATTCGGTGATCATCATTGTGGGTGAAACGGGCAGCGGCAAGACCACACAGCTCACCCAATACCTGCACGAAGATGGCTACAGCCAGTTGGGCATGATTGGGTGCACACAGCCGCGTCGTGTGGCGGCCATGTCGGTGGCCAAGCGTGTCTCCGATGAGATGGACACACAGCTGGGTAAGTGCAATCCCTTTTATTGTCTTGTCTTGGCTTGGATATGCGTGTAATCATTTGTGTATTCATTCCATTGCAGGCGAGGATGTGGGCTATGCCATACGATTCGAGGACTGTACTTCGGAGCGAACGGTCATCAAGTACATGACGGATGGCATATTGTTGCGCGAGAGTCTGCGTGATCCGGATCTGGATAGCTATGCGGCCATCATAATGGACGAGGCTCACGAGAGATCCCTCTCAACGGATGTGCTCTTTGGCCTGTTGCGTGAGGTGAGTATTCCCTTGCCCCTTTTTTTGTTTGTCTTTCATTTGCATCGGTTGTGTGTTGTTGGTAAACATTTAATAGTAATATCAATATAAAGCATTTTACAAACGTTTCATATTCTCGAAATTGTTTCACATTGTCGAAATGTATACAAGACCTACTACATGGTGTATAAATATATATTATAAATTGCTTAAAAATGACACAACTTAAACGGAATAATTAATAATTATTATTAATTTATGTACCTATATACTACATATATATCTTAAAAACTAGTTTTCTTTTTTTCCACTCATTTACGTATTTTTTTTTTTGTATTCTTTGTGAGAGTTTCTTTTTAGTTTTGTCTCCTGTCGATTTCCGTTTCCGTATTTCCGAGTCGTCTGGGGGTGGGGGGAGGAGAAGGAGTTGGGTGTTCCCGTAATTAAATACATAACGAAACATTTCGAATGTCTTAATCTTTGATAATCCTACAATTTCTATTTAGAGATAGTTTTCTCTTTTTTTGTGGGATTTTTTTTCTTTCTTTTTTTTTATTAGACTTATTTTGAATATCCTTAAATAACAAAGAAAACACATATATATATGCTTGCCATTCACAATGTAGTATATAAATATAATATAATAATAATAATAATCACAAGAAAACAAAAAAAAAATTAATGACAAAAAAAAACAAATATTTAATAAGTCTTTTCGAATTTCACAGTGTGTGTGTGTCTCTCTCTCTCTTTCTGTGTGTGTGTGTGTGTGTGTTTGTGTGTGGGTGCGTAGTGTAGGTGTGGGTGTAGGTGTCCGATACAAAAGTATTTTGTTTGGATACGATTTTGTTTGGTGGCTCCTCGATCGGAGTTGCAACATTTTTGTTGGAGGGTTCTGTTTCTGTGTGTGTGTGCGTGTGTGTGTGTGTGTATGGGGTACAGTTGTGTCTCGTCTCTGTGTGTCTCTCTGGTATTTTGCATGGTATTTTAATACTGCCAAATGAACATACTACACTCTCTCTGTCTCTTTGTTGGGGATTTTACCCTGATCTGAATTGCACTTAAAAATTGTACACTACACATTTTTGCAATTTGTATTTGGTACTTTTTGGGGCCGTCGTCTCTTATCATCGGAATCATAACTTTGAATACTTATGGTTTTTTTCTTTCTCTTTTTGTTTTTGGTTTTCATTATGAGTGGAGTAGAAGAGGGGGCGCAAACGGGCGGTTACTTTGAGTGGGAATAGCATTTCTGTCTATTATTTAGCACCAGCAACATGCCCGCATTCATGCCAACGCTGCCCCATTTCACGCACTCCGACATCTGCAAGATACATATAGATTTGTTTTTCACGACGATGTGTATAGAATAAAAGACGTACAGCGGGGTACAGAGAGCAAGGCAGAAGCAAAAGAAGGTAGAAGGTGGAAGTGTGCGGAGTGTGGTGGAGTAGGAGTATAGTAAGCGGTAGACGCACACACAAGAGTTCCGTTCCTGCCACATTCAAACAAAATAAAAGCAGGCGGCAACCAACGAATGATGCGCTGCTAAATGAAGGACGGATGTTGGATGTGGTGGGGGGAATAGCGTGGAGCGTGTGTTAGAGCGATCGAGGAGGGTTCTCTACTGTGAAAGATATAGTACAATATTTCAGTAAAATTTGTGGCCCGATTCCAAAAGCATCAAATGAGTTAGCAGGGATGATTCTTAAGATTTTCGAGTTTTTTTTAACAGTTATCGGTTCTCTCTCTTCTGTCAGGCCGTGTGTTGTTTCTGTCCGTCCTGTTCTTGTGTGTGTGTCGTGTGTGTGTGTTTTTTTTTCCTCTGTTGCAACTACAATCAATGCATATGGGGGTGGGGGGCGGAGGGTGGTGGTAGGCAGGATTTTGGGTGGGTAAATGTTGTGTTTTGGTTTCTTTTTTTTCTTTGCTTTTGCGTGTGTGTATGTGTGTTTATGTGTGTTTTCCTTCTCTCTCTCTCTCTCTCTCTATGTGTGTGTGTGTGTGTGTGTGTGGGAGATGGCCTCCGCTGCTTGCTCCGTTTATCAGTTAATCAGATGGAGCAGCACGTGATTAGCACTCGTCGTTACCTGTCGCTTTCGGACATCCTGCTGGCGGCTACCGTACCGGCACCAGTACACAAAATGCTTGTTGTTGTTCCACAGACTCTGTTTGGCCTTGCGCGCCAGCGATATCTACAGGCGTGCAGGGGTGTGGAAAGGGAGTAATGCATTAGTTATCGATGGGAATACTATTTCGGGAGTTCCTAATTCGACTTTCTCACTGAATTCTCTCGAGCTCTTTTTTTTGGTAGCATTGTACTTCGGGGAGTCCCAATTCGATTGCGAAAGTGAAACTTGGAACTGTATGTTTGGTTATAGGCATAAAACGAACGTGAGTCTGTTCTCTTGTGTGCTGCTCACCTGATTGCGTATATCCTTCTCGATATGGGGCATCTTCTCCTTGTCGGCAAAGTTATTGATCCTCAACTCCCATCCATGATTCCAGATGTCGGCCAGTGACATCTTGATCAGTTTGTAGGTACCATTCTCACGTATTTTCACAGAAAATATCTCAATGGAATCGGGCTTCGGTTTATTATCTGGATTGTGGGTGGGTGGGTAAACAGTACACAGTAGACAGTATAGAAAGAAAGAAAATAGAGTGAGTTAGTGATCTGTGTGCGCTTTTCCATGAATATCAATTGAGAAAACAGGTGACCCGGCCGACCGTCGACCGCCAATACTGCAATTCAGTTATTATTTCAATTGATTTTGATTTAACATTTAAGTAAATTTGTTTACATATAAATAAAAAAAATAAAAAAATGGGGAAACAAAACGGAAACGAGAAAGTGCATTTGCTTTGGTTGCATTCGTTTGCATTTGTAATGCAATTTATTCACTTGATGGACTTGAAATGTTCAAAAAACAGCCGACTCATTTCATGGATGGTATTATCGGAGACTCGGCAGCTTTTCTGTTTAATCCTTTATTGTGCAACAATACCCTGTCTTTCAGTAGGTTTTTGTGTCATAATAATTACTGTGCTTTCTGTTGTGTCTTAACGGTAAGGCAATTACAAACAACCAGGATAGAGTGGTAACACTATATGATGCTGATTGTCATGTGTTGTGTTTATACCGTTGTATTGTTTCGACTGTTGCGCAATCTGTTATAGCATTCGCCACTTAATTTTATATAAAATAATTAGCACTGCTTAGTATTTTACACCCCAACTGCTGATTTTGCCTTCTCCTTGTGTTGCTGCTTCTTTCCCTCGAATGGTATTTTTTTTTTGTCGCTAATATTTATTTTTATTTTTTATCTGTAGTCTCTAGTATTTCTTTTATTATTTGTTTTTGTTTTTTGTGCCATGTCCAACCAATTTGCAGGCAATTAAAATTTTTGCGTGGGTGGCTGGAGTGAGAAATGCACTTGTTTTTACTCATGTGTCCATATAATAGTCCACATATAATCACACTAGTAATTTGCGCGTACATTCCATTAAGCGCAGTCAGTAATTGGGACTAACCTGGACGCTAAAAGTGAAATGTATTGCATTTGGAGTGAGCTCATCTCTCTCCTGAAACTAAAAAGCGATAAAACATACTCAACGAAATGTTCAATGCATTTCAATCTTGAATGTTCAAGTATATGCCTTTAATCCATCCCATCGATTGACGTGCAATGCGGGGCCGATATGAAGGGCCGCCGACAGAGCAGACAGAGGGTGGAGTGTTTGACGTACGTGACTACATGGGACTACATATTGTAAATATCATTTGATAAGCACGCATGCGCATTTCTTTGCTGGCAGGCATTGCTGGGTGTACATACAGCGCCGTTGTAATCTGTCACCAAGCACGAGTAATTTTTCCAGGAGAAGAGTGCGGTGCGGGCAGTGCAGGATAATCAGTGGGGTCTTAACAGGTGGAATGGAGAACAAGTAAAAAAAAAACACACACACACAACTCCAACGTTTTTATTGATTGTTGGGGGGCTATGGCTAGACACTGATAACTATGGTACAACCCATATTAATCAGGTTTCTTTTTGATTTTTGGGAACGGAAGAAGGCAATACAGCTTTTAAGCTTCTCAAAAAATGGATTTTAGTAGCGAAAAAACGAATATCGTTCTGCGGGTGCAGGGTATACGAAGTGCTACTCAAAATCCCCTTATCATTCCTACGCATGTATGCCCCTTCCATATACCCGCACGCACCCAACCACTCACACACACATGCACAGGCATGTGTGATTGCCGCACGTGGTGAGTTGGGTTATTGGCCGGGGCCGGCACGCACACGAGATGCAACACCGCCTGCTGCTGCCGCTGCTGCTGCTGTGTGGGTGCGTGGTGAAATGCAAAAAAGCTCACCACAACATCCACAGCACCCAGACGGCAAACAGTAGTCTCCGCTAAGGAACAACATGTTTTTTCTGAGTGGTATTTCTATACAAATTTCAGATTTCAGTCTGGGTTTATAGGAAAAATTACAACACAAAAAAAAACCAGAATCAATCTCGAATGGAAGACTCTAGCGAGGTCTTACTGTGCCCCATGGGTACAGAAAGAGACAGTAGACGTTAATGGTATGCGTGACATGGAGCACATGATGTGCTTGGGAGTTTTTGGAAAGACACAAGTCAGCAGCCTCCTGCTCACGCTTTGTTTGATTTTACTTTTTTTCTTTTGGTCTGCCTTTGCTTTTGTGTGCGTGCATATGCGCACGCAGAAAATTTTGGATTTTTCTGGCAGGCCAGGCTGTCAGCGCACTGTTGTGAATGGTCGCAAAGCTGACGTCTTGCTGCTGCTCTGCGACCGCGCACTTGCTGGATTTTCGATTAGATAAAAAGCCAGGCCCTACGCTTGTATGCTATGCAGACATGTACTGGCGTCTGTGCGCTTTTTCATGTGTGCGAGTGTGTGTGAGTTTCTGTGTTTCAGCGTTTGTTTGTTTATTGAATGACATTTTAGAATGGCAGAACCCCGCCAAATTCGCCTTTAAAAATCCAGCGATTAGCGTAATTGCCTTGAAGTCTACAGTTCTTTCTTAAAAATTTTCCTACAGATTGGGGGATTTGGGGGATGCAAAACTCACCTTTGGCCACTTTGCATAGGACTATGCCGTACCAGGACGCCACTGGCGTCTCGTTTTCGTCTTGTGTCTCCAGGAAACTGATGCTGCTGCTGCCATTGCGGGTTATCATTAGGCCTGGGGCCAGGCCCAAGCCAAGGGGCGGACAGTCCATGTCCAGGGAATCGATATCGCTGGCAGCTGCGGCCGCTGCGGCAGCGGCCGCCGCAGCCGCTGCCTCTGCAGCCGCGCTGCTGCGCACCTCTACAATGAAGCCACACTCGACGACGGCGCAGAAGATGCGCTGCTCCTCGGGCTTGAACCACTTGGATTCGCGCAGTTTTTGCACGGCAACGCTGCTGCCGAAGGTGGCGCTCACCACACCGCCACCGGCTTTCGGCTGCTGCTGCAGCGCCGGTGGCCAGTTAGAGATCGGGGAGCTGGGCGCCGACTGTGAGTAGCCACCGTTGCTGGTGGGTGGCGCTGATGCAGCTGCCGCTGCTGGTGTCGCCTGGCTGTTGTGGCCCTGCAGGGGCCACCACTTCAGGGAGCTGACAAAACTGTTGGAGCGGTTCATTCCAGGCGGGGCGGGGGGCGTGGCCGGTGTGCGCCCAACTTTCACTCGTGGAAAAATGTGTATATGTATGAATTTGTGTAAAGTGCACTTTTCCGCGCTTTTTTCCCCCTTCGATATTCTGGCTTCTTTTGCTTTTTGCTGCTTCTGCTGCTGCTATCGCTGTGCGGCCTTTGTCTTGCTTCTCCCCTCCCCCGGTTGCGCTGCTCCAATTCGCTTTACTTTTAATTATTATTCCGCTCTGCACCCCTCTCTTCTCTATCCCGCAGTCTGACTATCTGTATGTATTTGTGTGTGCAAATGTTTCTTCTTTTTGTTTTTTTGTTTTTGGTTCAGCTTCAGCTGCACGGCAATTTTCTGAACGTTTTTCGTGTTTTTTGACGCTGCGTTGTGTGTTGTGCTTCGTTGGGGCTTTGGGGCTTTCTTGACGGTTGTACTCGCTCTTCAGATACTATAGCTTCGGTTGGCGGCTACGTCACAAATTTCAATGGGAACAAATGTTGCCCAGTTCGACTTGCATGTTGCTGGTAGCGCGTACTCATGTTGCTTGAAAACCGGTTTCAGTGGTGGGTTTTGTTCAGTGTGGAAGTTTCTAGTGCCCTACCTGGGAGGTTTAATATAAGTATAGATATTCCCGGCTTGTTTTCAATAAATGACATTGACTAAGTGACTGAGAATACCATTAATAGAAAATTTCACTTAGACTATTCTGCATACATGTGTACTCTAGACTTAGTATATATGTATATATTTTTCCAAGGGTATTCAAATGTTGGTTATTTCACGTTTCTTGAAATCCTTACTCTCCCTTAAACTGTGTGGACAGGGTGTATTAGGACAACAGGGTAGCATACAGCAACAAATGGCATTCCGCTCGCATGTTGCTGGCATGTTGCCAAGCACCACCTCATTGTCTGAATACCCCTTGTTTAAGCAAGAATGTGCAACATGGGCTGGAAATGAGACAGCCGAGAGAGGAGAAACGAGCAAAACCGACAAAAGCCGAGAGAGCAAAACGCAAAAATCCACCACAACGGGAGAAAAACGTCGCTGCTGGCGTCACCTTGCATAAACCACTTCTCTCTTCCTTCCCCTCCACTGTCGTGCTCTTTCTTTGGATTCCGTTATGCTATTGCTGCTGTTGTTTATTATGCACATCACTCTGCCTCTCTCGCCGCTTATTAGCTGCTGTTTTTATCTTAATTCTTTTAATTCGATCCTGTTGGGAATCTCTTGCTGCACCGATAACAGGTACCCTCGTCTCTCTCTTTCATTCGCTCTCTCGCTCTCTGCGTGTGGTTCTCTTCTTTGGTGCTGCTCTACTTCCGCTCTGACCTTCTTATGTCTGTTCTTTATGAGAAATTTATACATATGCGTTGATTATTTTTGTCAACGTCGTAGTTATTTGTCACAAAATTCGGCTGCGGCCCGCTGCCCACAGCCACCTACACCCCTCTCGCGACACCTGATACGTCAGAGCACCGCACCGGTGAATATGATTGATGTGAATGACAATGTATCGATTACAAAGATCTGTTATCGTACAGATCATGTGATCGTGCGTACACGCCTCGTAAATGTGCACATACATATGTGTATATTGTGACCAAATAAGGCCAAAATAAACGAATCCCAGACGAAACTGCTTCTGGCTCTATTTTATGGAGCATGGCTAATATCCGTTTGCCGTTTAAATTGCGTTTGAATTCAATAAACGAAGATCAAAGCAAAAATACATTATTATGCATAAATACATATGAGTGTGCAATCCTAGTCCGGCCAGTAGTATAACGGCCATAACCACAGGGTAATCGCATTATCAGAAGATACCTGAAGCTCGCTACGACCCGCTGTAGAAAAAATCCCACCCCACCGCCACCACAGAGACCGACCCCCTACTAGTGCCTCCGCCCCCATGCAGAGCTGCATCCAATCTTCGGATCGATATTGTCAATGACTCAAGTGGCTCGTCGGTCCATCCAACGCCCGCTGTAATGATTGCTTGCGAGTCGAGTTAAAAAAAATGTTCATTGCCTTTTTTTTGTCGATTGCTTGCGTGAAACTTCTCGCGGTGACGTCCCAAAAGTTTGACATTTCCTTGCGTTGGTGGGAGTGTGCCCAGTCACGTACTACATATGTATGTACGAATCGGTCCAATTCGATTTGGGGGCACCAGAGAACATGCCAATTAATTTGACCCATTAAGCTCTGTGCCACACGCCTTTACAGTGGGCCAATCCCCCTACCTCCGACGACCCACAAGTACATGGCGTCGGGGTCACCACTAATAACCAGCGCTCCACAAGAGCAGGTCCTTGCCCAGGGGTGGTATTAAATATAATTAAAAGAATCGTGCTCAAAGAATTTTAATCTATAGAAATTTTGGTGGGACACCCAACCAAAATGATAGGGGAATATAGGATAAAAGCTCTTCAGGGAGAACACCCGCTGTTTTAATGATTATGTCTCTTAATGGGGGAGATGGTTGTAGTTGTACGGAAAAGAGCGATAGAAAAATAAAGGAATATGATTATAGAGTGAACAAAGTTCTGTTTCGATTGATTCTTAAGCTTTTTATAAGTGGCTGGGGCATATTTCTCAAAAGTCTTTCAGACCATGTTTGTGATAGAAAACATATGTAGGTATATATTTCCAAGGTAATCTCTGTGCAAATGTAACGAAGAATATTGCCTTGAGTATTTCGATTAATCAATATCGAAATTTTCCATATGATATTCTTCAACACCGGGCCCGAGAGAGCATTTCAACTTCGGCTTTCGCGTTTTGATTTTTTTTTTCTCTGTTTTGTTTTCAATTCAAGTTTTTCATTTACTTTTTCTGGTCGGGTCGCCATCGTCGTCGCTGCCGCTCTTGTCGTCTATAAATAGCATTTTGCAACTTGCTGCTGTTTCTGTTGATATTATTGTTGTTGTTGTTGTTGTTGATTTTTCTCCATAGCTATTTATAGTTTAACCTTGGTTGTTGCTGTTGTTGTTGTTGTTGTTGGAAAACGAGGGGGGACGAACGGCTCACCTAAAGGTGGGAACCAGCGGTCCCAACATGGGGGAAGAGAGCGCCGTATGAAGTAGTATGTACATACATACATATGTATGTATGTGTTTTGAACCGCGGCTAATTAGCGCTTAGCCGGTCCAATTACGCTAGGGTATACGTATGGCATACCTCTCGTCATGCACATCTGTGGATGTGTGGATCTGTGGATGCATGCCCTTTGAGTAAAACCCATCTGTTACATCTGTTTCTCTAATTGCCACATTCCACCTTCCACCTTCCATACCCTTCGATACATCTGCGATATACATGTACATACATACTGTAATAGGTTAGTTCATTGCAATCGGATTAACTATCCTCAATGTTGATCGTACCACTAAGCCAACGAATTTCCACAAAGAGAATGAGAGAGTAAGCGGAACAGTTGCCTTTTTTGTACATTTCTTCAATCTCGGAAACATCAGTCTCAAGTATTTCTATCCGTCTGTCTCAGTAAACTTGGAGACTTTTTTGGGGTACCCCCAAAATACCCTACACAATTGATCATTTCTGTTCTGATTAGCGGGTATACCCTAGTCGGAATACTTGTTGTTTTAGCTTTTATTGAAAATTGCGCAATCAATTTGAAGGCGCGTGTGTAGGTCAGTGCCCAAAAGGCGTCATCGTTCATCGTTTGTCTGAGGAGATAATAACAATGAATATTTGGCGAAAAAAAAAGGAAAACTACATTGAGATAATTGTGAATGCCCTTACCAGGACCAGCAGCCTAATGCATGCATACCTCTAAATGTTGTCTTCTATTTTTATCAAAAACCTAAAGGTCTTGAGACCTAATGAAGCAGTGAACGTTCCATACAAATTTCAAGTGAGGTAAGGGTATACCACCTTCGTTTACACGACTTGGACGACCCTTTTTCTTGATGTCCACATGCAAAAAATAAATGCAGAAACCACCTGTATTTGTTTATTTATACATATGTATGTATAGACTGGTGGTATCACATTTGCATGCGGCGGCTTGGCTTCTTTCTGCTTCCTCGGGGTTCGGGGTTGCATAAATAATCTATTTTGAATGAAAAATTTAATAAATAAAACTGTCATCAACGGTTTAGGCCAGTGCTTAGGCCTTTGACAAATTGGAATTTACATACATTATGTACGTACATACACAAATAAAAGTACGTGCCACAATCTATCTATCCATCTACCTATCTATCTATCTATCTATCCAACACAACACACTTGTTCCCCCTGTATATGGGTACAAATATGTGCATATATGGCGAGTGGAGTGTACCCGAAAGAAACTCGTTTTGTTTTTGGACTACTGTGGGGAGGGGACTACTTAAAGGCTTCGTTTTGCGCATTTTACCGGTAAAATGCTTTCGATATCTGGTAATAACCAGACTTTGTGCTTCTGTCAGACTTCATCGCTGTTTCCGTTTTGTTTCGTTTTGTTTTGTTTCATTTCGTTTTACCCTATTCTACACACATACATATGTGCATACATTCTGTTTTGTCTGGGGCTTTGCGGTGGTTGGGTGGAGTGGACGCACTCGTTCAGAGAGCGGCCTGCGGTTGACATTCCAAAGTTCAAGCTCCCAGAGTTGCAACACAAATAATCGAACCGAGAGACCAGCTGGAGCAAAAGAAAGGAAGTGGAGAGGTGAGGTGTGGGTGTGGGTGAGATGACAGAGCCTCAAGATGAGGCGGCACATTCCATTGGCGGCACATTATTGAGTCTGTCTAGTCTCCAAATGGCACACGACGAACAGTAGCAACAGCCCTGACAATGGCCCAGGTCAAAGCTTCTCAGAGCTCAGGCTGACACCGGGCTTCGAAGATGGGAACACCCTCGCTGGCACACTGGCTGGCTGTACCGTACCCTTCAATGATACTCTTGTACATAGGTTCGACATCAGATTTGAAATGTAAAATGTGGAACCCACGAGGATGTCCATTCAGCTCTTCCATGCAGCCTCCTCCAAGTCCACTCTGCTCTTCGCTCCGTCACGTAGCAGTAGCAGAACTGTCAGCCTCAACAGGGGCGTTCTCGGGGCTATTTTCAGACTCTTTATAATCATTCAGACGAGGCACGAGTACAAAAGCAAAAGCAACAAAATTAAACAAAAGACAATACAGTCTGGGGCGGCCAGACAATAAATAAATGTAAAATATGTTAAAAAAAAAAGTGTTGTGTGTGCCTCTACATAGGTGTACCCTTGCAGTGGAGGGTATGGCAGATTTAGGCAGAACCATGGAGAAAGCAGAGAACTAGAAAGCATTTTTTTTTACTCGAATCGAACTAGAACTATAATCCTGATTAATTTGATTAAGATATAACATCTATGCCATAGAAGTAGTGGATCGTTACAGGGTATCCACAGCAGTAGTACCCGAAGCTGTGTGCTTTC